ACAAAGTTAGAACAATATTGTTTTCTTTTTAGAGATAGGACTTAAATTAATTAATCTAATTGAACATACGATTTTATGATTGTCTTTCGTTAGGTATTTCTAGTTCATAGATTCAATTAAATTATTACTATTTTCGTTACTTTTAGCGAATCGCTTTAAGCCATAAAAAATTGTTTCTCACGAACTGAATACAATATTTTAGAAAATCTAATAAGATAAAAGTTAAAAGTATTATATGCAACGTTGTCGTCTTATCATGGTGATGCATCGAAAACAGTTATCGAACCATTAATATTTATTTAGTGACATCTACTGTTTTGTAAAATATTAAAGTGCTGAATATTTTAGTCAACAAAGTAGGCATAATTAGACTTAACAAAAGAGAAAATGATAACAGATATCAACACTATAATTCTTTATAGGCTACTTTTGAGTACATTTTTTAAAGAGTAGAAATATCATCGCAAGTCCGTAGTTCTTAAGTCAACAATAATTCTATTGATATGAAGATGTTTATTTTTTTATAAGAATCGATATGTAGTGGTGAAAATTACAAAGCAAATTTTATAATTCTATAAAAAAAACCATCATCATTCGTATTACGACGTAAATCCCGTAAATGTAAAGTTAAAGTAGGTCTTTTTTTTATTGATATAGGATCAAAGAGAACGTGACGAGCTGATAATAAAGATGTGCGTTTTTAGTTTTCTTTGAATCATTCCTTAAGGGCACACTTCCAGTTTTTTCAAGTGACCTTTTTTATGAGAAAAACGGCAATTTTTGATAGCCAAGAAATTTTTCAATTGTTATCACTTCCTTCATTTTCACAATGGTCTCATGTTTATCATGAAAAAATAAATTTTGGCGATTCATTCATAAATGAATCACCAAAATATATTTTTTCATGATACACATCAGTTCATTGTGAAAATGAAGGAAGTGATAAAAATTGTAAAGCTCTTGGCTATCAAAAATTGCCGTTTTTCTCCTAAAAAAAGGTCACTTGAAAAAACTGGAAGTATGCCCGTAAGGAATGATTCGAAGAAAACTAAAAACGCACATCTTTATTATCAGCTCGTCACGTTCTCTCTAACTCGATATCAATAAAAAAAAGAACTGCTTTAACTTTACCTTTCCGACACCTTACCTGAAAAGTTCTATTTAATAGAACATAAAATTTATTGTATAGTCGAACTATTTTACTGCTTAAGCATCTTGTTCAAGAAAAAAAAAAGCTTTTAACAAAATGAAAATATACTATTTTATTATCAACCGGAAGGCTACGGTTTGTAAAAAAAGAAAGTGTTCAATGTAGCGTACCAGAGTGCTAAGATCTCAGCATGATAGACTTCAACATTGATTAACAAATTAGTCCATTGATTTCATTATACTTAGAAGTATTTAATAGAGTTTTTATCGTAATTTATTTTCTATCAAATTAAAAAATTCTTTTTCTTTTTTTTTCAACGGTGTTCCATAACAAAACCGGTTAGAGGTTTGTTTTATTTCAAAAAGAAAACAAAAACAAACTAACAAAGAATAACAAAAAAAAATTTGTCAACAATGTTTTTTTATTACTGCTTTTAATTATTGAAATAATCTTGTAATGATTCACCTAATGTTGATTCCATATCAACAATAACACGATGACATGTTTTTTCAACTTCATCATTTGAATCTTAAGAAGAGAAAAATAAAAAGATAAAAATTTATTAGATTTCTTTTTTTTTTTTAAATGCTGAATTTCATCCTATACCTTCCATTAATTCAGCCATAAATGGTATAGCTTCTGGTAAAAGACTTTGATAGTTCATTCCTAATTTTCTTGAAAGTTCTTGTAAAACATTTAATGTAGCTAAACGAACTTTTGATAAATTTGATCTTGTTTTTAATAAAATTTGATAATGAATTTGACGCCATAATGGTTCTTCTTTTGTTGCTGATGTTAAATTAACAATACATGGCGAAACATTTTGTTGTATCCATTGAGAATAATCATCATTTGATGTAAAATTTTCTAACTAAAATAATGAAATAATTTTTATAATAATAAAAAGTAAAAATAAAAATAAAAATAAACATACTTGATCAACAATTGGCATCATAAGTAATTGAAAACGTTCATCATTTATAAATCCTACACTATCAAATAAACATAAATTTGATATTGTACCTAATATACCATTAATTAATTCAATTTTATTTTCTTCGGCATATTTTTTACGAAAATTTATCTTAAATTCACTTGATTCCTCATTAGTTTTTGATGAATTTAATTGATTAAGAATATTTGATGCATGTTGAATTATATGACCAGCAAATAATGTAAATAAACCTTTTAATTTTTTTGAAAGTCTATTTTCAACAAAAAGATAAAATTTTATTTTTAAATACAATAAGATTCCTTACATAAAAGTTAAACGATAGAATGTTAATGTATATTCTGATGGTGGTTCATTATAAACTGCCCATTCATAAATTGTATAAAATAATGGTCGAAATGTTTCTTCTGATAAACGCATAACAAGTTCCGAAAAACAATCAAATATATAATCTTCATATATATTCATTTTATTAGGTTGCATTTTTTTAGTATGCATTGTACGTAATGTAAATAGTTTAAGAAATAATTGTTTAAGTAATGAATAATTATTACTTAAATCATCTATTGTTGCTATTGATAATGATTGTTTTAATAATGTCATTAATGATTCAAGATCATTTAATTGAAATTCATTTTTATCAATAACATCATATAATATTGGAAATAGAAGACGATGTGAAACATGTAATGCTATATGAGACCACATTGTTCGTAAACGTTGATCATTTATTGATGATGGATGTGTTAATAATGTACATGTCTTTAATTAAAAAATAAATAAATAATAAAACTTTGTTTTTTTTTTTAGAAAATTCTAATTTTTATTTTACTCGTTTAATAATATCAGGTAGATATGGTGTAAGATAATTGCATAAAGTTCGAACTAATTTTGATAAACATGCAATAATACTTGTAAGAAGTAATTCATTTCTAAAGAATTTAAATATTTTTCTTAGAGTAATGTTCACAATAGAGGCAAAGTTATTCAAATTCTTAGTAATTTTTTTTTTCAATCATTTTGAACACAATTTAGTTGCAAAGAACGACAAAAAAAAATAAGTTTATTCCTTTGATTTTCTAAAACAAACACGTATCTTATCTAATTTATCAATCTCTATCAATCGGTCGTTGACGTGAGTCAATAGAAAATTTAAAGCATTTCGATTAGAATCAAAATTTTACGCTCTTTCTGAATATGTGTTAATAATTTGTATCAAATTACATAGCAAGTCCTGAAAATAAAGTTTAAACGGATATCAATAAATAAAAAGTCTGACAAAAGAAGAAGTAAAATTTATGACAAATATATTAAGTCGTAATCATTAGTCTTCTATGATACTTCTATCAATAATCAGACTCTTTGTCAAAGGCATACTGACGCCCTCAAAAATTTTTAGGTTCCAGATTTAGAAAATCAGCTCGATTATTTCCGAAGAATCGCTAAGAGAATTTCGGTTCTTAGTTCACTTTGTAGAGGATTGTCTTGTTCTTTAAACTATGATAACAAATCGGTAATAGAAACTATTTCACAAGAGTATTCTTGCTACGAAGGACGTATATTGTACATTCTAGCAACGTGACCCAATCCGTGGGTGAGTTCTGTTTTTTCATAACATATGTCCCTGTCCTCTATTTTTTTCTCTATATTACACTTAAAGAACAGTTAATTAGAAATCTATTGGTTTGTATTCGAAACAATACGAGAAGACATGCGAAATTTCTTACTGTCTAAATATTTCTTTTTCATATTTTAATATTTTGGTTGTTATTGGTACTTCCAAGTGATTGATTTGTTAAAAACAAACGTATGTTATTTCTCGGTTCGGTTAAGGGTTCGAAAAGTTACAACCGTGCAAAATTCTACCGTATTTTCTACATGTTGACAAAAAAAAAATAACTTCAAAATGAGATGCAGTCAAGCAAAAACCAGTGAAACTAATTTAAATTACGCACATTCCGAACATTTTGTCAGACAGAACAAAACATTTTGATTTTAACTCAATACTTTAAATTTTCTTGTGACTTTCGTAATTAAGGGAAAAATTAAAAAAATATTGACAATTCTTGTTATATTTAATAGATGTTTTTTAGATAATTTTTTCTTTACATACTTAATAACATTATCTGATTGATACGTTTGTAAAACATGTGGCATAAATGATGGTAATTCGGCGATTGAATAAATTTTTAATGTAGCACATAATTCTGCCAAACATAAGTAAATACTTGCACTTAAGTTGGCATGTTGTCCACTATCGAGAAGACGTAAATATTGGCAGATAAATGTTAACGACTAAATATGAAGAGAAAAAAAGAAGATTACTAATAGCATTCACATAGTAAAATTGATTATCTTTTTTGCATTGACATTTTCTTCTTCCGAAAACAAAAAAAAATACGAAATCTTCATGCATATATGGCGTCACTATCTTTCTTGTTATCTACCATGAATCATAATGTTGTAACTAAGAACATACAAAAATAAATGATGAAAAATGCTTCATCATGATTTTTACTATTGATGTATCATTTCTATTACATAGAGTTCAAAGCAGTTCCTTCTTTACCATGAATAATAAGTGTATCAATTAAAATTAATTGAATTTCTTATTATAGATGATGCACCCCTTTTTCAATATATAAAACACAACATATACACAAGCATAACACAATATAACTCTTCACCTGAATGCAGAAAGGTAACTTTTACTAAATGAAGACGTTTTTGCGTACTCTCCCCCCCGTTAAACTATCAAAAATGCATAATTTTCATTGGCACGTTGATTAATAGAGTACATATTGTGGAAAAATATGCATCAATTTTCAGGGGTGCCTACTAAACAAGTATATATTCTTCTATGTAGATAGAGTCATTCATTCAACAAACAAAATCGAAATGGCAAAGGAAGATACAGCATCTTTAAAACCTCATCGTCATTCTAAACGTCGACTTTTTCAAACGAAAACATTTCGTTTATTATCAATGCTTTCATTAACATTTACATATTTTATTATTGAACTTGTTGTTGGTCAAATAACAAATTCTGTTGCATTAGTTGCTGATGCATTTCATATGTTATCTGATGTTATATCATTAGTTATTGCTATTGCTGCTGTTAGAATGGCTAAACGTAGCTCACATAAAAATACATATGGATGGGTACGTGCTGAAGTTGTTGGTGCAAATATAAATACAGTTTTTCTTCTTGCATTATGTTTGACTATTATATTTGATGCAATCAAACGTTTTATTGAACCTGAACGAATTGAAAAAGTTAATTTATTATTAATCGTTGGTTCGATTGGTTTAGGAGTTAATATTATTGGTCTATTCTTATTTCAAGGATTTCATGGACATTCACATGGAGGTGGTTCACATGGACATTCACATGGACATTCACATAAAAAAAGTTCGCATAAAAAGAATTCACATGGACATTCACATGAGGATAATTCACATGAGCATTCACCCGCAAATGGTTCACACGGACATTCACATGAGAATAATTCACATGGTCATTCACACGCAAATGGTTCACATGGACATTCACATGAGAATAACTCCAATGATGAAACAGATAGCAACTCAAGAGAAGATGTCGAAATATATGAGTATCCCGAATTAGAGGAAATGTCTAACAAATTTGAAAGACATAGCACACGAGCATTACAAGAGGTAAAATTTGAATTATATTTTTATAAACGAGTTTTGTATTATCTTACGCTAAAATTTAGGCTATTGCTGACTGTGTACAACAAACTAATGAAGAATCAGATACAGTTATTGAAATGAATGATGATAGTAATGATAATAGCAAAACAAGTAAACCACAAAAACGAGCATCCATGAATATGCATGGAGTATTTTTACATGTATTAGCTGATGCACTTGGTTCTGTTGTTGTTATCATAAGTGCTTTAATAATTAAATTTGTTCCAAATCCTTCAGATGATAAAAAACATTGGACAATTTATGTAGATCCAACTTTATCAGTTATTATTGTTATCATCATAACAATTTCAACTGTTCCATTGTTTAAAGAAACATCGTATATCTTATTACAAGTAATGCCAAGACATCTTGAAATTAATACATTAAAACGTCAATTATTAGAAAATGTTCCTGAAATTCATAGTGTACATGAATTACATATATGGCGTTTAACTGATGATAAAGTTATCGCAAGTGCACATTTAAATCGAAAAAGTTTATCAAATTATATGTCTGTTGCGGATAAAGTTAAAAATTTTTTTCATTCAATTGGCATACATTCTGTAACAATGCAATATGAATTTGATGATTATATAGAAAGTGATAATCGATCAAGAATAACAACAACAACAACAACGGAAGATCCAAACAATCCAAGTAGAGTTCCTGGTGATTGTTTACTTCGATGTAAAGCTGATGAATGTGAACCTCAAACATGTTGTACAATAAGTTCCGATCGTGCAAATACATTATTAAATAATAATCCTATGCAAATATTTTCTATCACTGAAGCAAATAATTTTGGAAATTCTATACAAACTCAAACATCAATCACTCCATCGATTCAAGATGAAAAACTATGAAAAGAAAAAAAAACCTATGATTTTTTTTCTTTTGCGTCATTATATATGTATAAATAGAGATTTTATTATTGTTAATAATATATCTTCGATATGTAGACATGAAAATGATGTCATCACATAAAGATGATTATATTTTGAATATTTATAAATAAAATAAAACACGATTTTCTCTTTAATAACAATGATGATTAATTCATATTATATTATTGAAAGAAACAGGTAATATGTTTTTTATTGATAGGTATTCAATCGAAATATTCACATAGTCTAGATATAGAAAAGATGAATGTTTGGCTGTATTGCTGTTCTTTTGTATTTATTAATCAAAATTTCGTTTCATATGTACTATCATTAGTGAAATTTGATACCCGTTAACAACGAAAATGTGTATGTATATGTTAATGTATTTTCATGCCTACATTCTGTTTGCTAAATTACTATATTCTTTGATAATTGAAAATCAAAATAAGTGTTTTTGTTGTCCTATAATGAAATCTGAACTGAGATCAGAAAGTCTCGTGCATATTTCTATAATTGAAATAAACGCATGAGGTGTAGTGTGATGCATAAAATACAAATTAAAATGAGAAATCTATGTTGATAGTAGCAATAAATAAACTTAATTGAGTATTAAAATAGAAATAATTGATGACACATTGACAATGTGAACGAAAAAAAAAAAGAATTATTAGTTATCTTGTAATAATCTATTTCTTTTTCATTTTTGTTTAATAAAATTTATTGATAACTAACGTTTGCAACGAGATGGTAGTTCCAAATACATACGTAATAAACGATTTAACGATAAAAAAAAAAAAAGAAGTTTGCACTAATAAAATTTGCATTTATGATATTATCTAGTACTCTTTACAGTTGTTTATTTTTATTAGAGGAATGAAACTATTCAAGTAAATGCATGTGGAAATGAGAATATTTTTACTTCGGATTTCTTCCTAATTACACGATACCCTCATAGCCGTACTTGTGATGGTTCTTTGAAATTAGTCGGGAATTCAGAAGAAACCAACACATTACAGGCAATTTTTTTTTCCAGAAAAACTCTTAACTATAAGAGAATATTTTAATTAGTAGACATTATATAATCATAATGACAAGTTCTGAAACGCTTTCAAATAAAAGTCTAGTCTTTATTATGTCTCTTCTGGGGAGCTTCAAATCATAGATAAGAATTGTTAATAAATTTATGTAGAATTCAATTCTAGAATATAATAGAATTGATTGTATGAAAAAATGATAAAATTTTAGGAAACATTTTACTGACCTCTCTTTAGAATATATAAAATATTTAATGAGTCAATAAGAGAGTGAACAACTTACTGATGAAAACTCTGTCGGATGTTTTTCAGCTAAACGTTTAGCTAATAATTTAATTGAAAACAGAGCTGTTTGTGCTGTTTGTTCTTGTTCATGTGTTGAATATTTATTAACAATTGATAATAAATTATTCATATGTGGTAAAAATAACACAATCTAAATATTAATAAAAAATAAATTCAATTTTATTTCTTTTGATGCTTTGTTTAATGGGGGACCCCCTCAGAAAATCCAATTTTTTGGGAGATGAGTCGAAATTGAAGTTTTATCATAGGAAGATGCACTGAAGTCTCCTCTTTCAGAATATCTATGTTTCATCGAAAAATGAATTGATTTTGATGAACTTATCGTATAAAACTTTGCTCCTACTATCATATTTTTCGAGAAATTTTCATGGTGTTTTTCCAAGGTTTTTCGACTTTTTAGGTTGCTTTCTCTTTGCATCATCATTTCGTAAAGTTTTTTTTAAATACTGATCACTAAGAGACTATCAACACTTAATATTAAGATCACACATTTATAGCCCGTCTTGAACATTGATATATAAATCAGGTGATTTTCGGAAGAATCGACTTCTAATACTTATTTTTCGTTTTTCTCAAAATCAATTTTTTCGATCGTACCGTTTACGCGGGCAAGGATTTCTTAATAACGACTCAATATAGAAGTGATAAATTTTTTTTGTTGAATAGAGGACAGTTAGGGCTAGATCCTCACGATCTCCGATTTTTGAATTTCTCTTTTATTGAAATAAAAAACTTAGATATTTCAGTTTGATGAGCACTTTGAATTTGCACATGTGACGAAAAAAGTGTTTTTAAAAATCAAATAAAGGAAAATTTAAAAATCGGAGAACGTGAGGATCTAGCCCTAAGGTCACTCGACAATTTAAAAACCAGCCCGGTATGATTACATAGTAACCCCATTGTGGAATCCTTGCCCGCGTAACGGGTAATGAATTCACTAGAACTTGTGTATAAGTTAGAGATTTGGGGAGATATATTAATCATAATCTATTCTAACCAAGACTAATATTCTCTGAAATTTTCGTTGACATCGGAAGAGAAAATAACAAAGTTCGTTTCTGAGGTGGCCTTAAAAAGCTATTAGCGTAATATTCTCTACGAGATTAACCTTTCAACGGCAAAGTTCGTAAATTTGCATTTTCAAAATTTGAATAGGGGGAGGGAGGAGGCACAGTCGCAATATATTAAAACAAGCCTTTTCAATATTTGTTGTGTTCTGACATGAATGACACTGGCAACACTATTGTATCTTTAAGTCAAGTCTAAGCGCGTGAAACATAATCCTCAATAATTTTTAAACCGTACCATATGAACAATAGAAATTTAATTTATTTCTTCTAAAAATGAGTCTGCAGTCAGTGAGGTTAAAATACAAAAACCCTGATGTAGCTGCTCTTGCTAATCGTAGGAAGATTGTTTTACTTTTGGGACACTTTTCTTCATTATCCTTTTATTTAATCTTTCAGAAATTCAATAAAGCAGTAGTAATGAGACATAATTGATATACACTCTTTCATTGCATATCACAGCAATGCCTGCCATAATCTCTAATTAGCGTTTCTCATGATCAGTAAGAGAGAGATAGAGTCAATTGAAACTGGATTCGAAATTTATCGAATCTAATGGACTCTAGAGAAAGTTCTAAATTTATACTTCTATACTTCAACATTTTCTTTATATTGTTTTTCATCTAAACAAAACTCACTTCATTTTCTGTTGTAAATTCATCTTTTAGACGTGTATTTAATATTTCTAAAGTTTTTCTTTGTAATTTTTCATTTGTTTGTTGTTGTTGAAGTAAATTTGATATAATATTAACAAACATTGAACCATGTAATAATGCAATACTTTTATTTAAACAATCATAAATTTTATTTAATATTGATTTATTATAACGACTTATATCAATATCATCTTCAGATAATTTATTAGCCCATAATAGACAATGAAGAATTGTTTGAATTAATTCATTTAAATAATTGAGTTCATTTTCTTGACGTAAACCATTTTTAATCTATATAAAATAAAAGTAAAAAAGAAACAAAATTTTATTTAAATAATAAAAGAAAAACAAAATAATAATTTACCATTTTAATAAAAAAATCAGCAGAAAGAATATTATTAACAAATGTTAATAATTGATATTTAAATACATGAATATGTTTTGTTGTATATAAACGTAAATCTATTAAATGTGAATATGTCGATGGTGTAGATTGATTTTCTTTAATAATGAAAAACAAAAAAAAAGACAGATTATTTTTGTCTAATAGAAAAATGACTTTCTATTTACTCGTGATTTGATCAGGTAGATTTAATAGAACATTTAATATACGTGTAAGACTAATAAGTATAGTTGATGATGAAAATTGATTAAAACTATTTAACATTTGTTCATTAGCATCGATTAACGATTTCTAAAAGAAAGAAAAAAAAAAGTATCAAATAAAGATTAAATCATTTGAATTTTTTTTTTTTTTTACTTTTAATGTTTCTTCATTTTTTCTATTGATTGGTGATAAAAGAATCGAGTCAAATAATTGAATTGGTGCAAACCAAAGACATTCATCTTGACCAATTGATTCCATAAGCATACGAAATATATCTTGACGACGATGTGCTGGTAAATGTGCTAATGATGTTACAAAAACATGTGTAATTTTAGCAAGTATTGGTCGACGTTGTTCAAGATTTTTTTCCTTAAATTTAAATTATTTATTTATTTTAAAAAGACCCAAAAAAAAAAACATATCTCTACTTTATATAAAGATGGTATAACAGTTTTTATTGTTTTTTCCATAACTTGATAACTATATAAATCATCTTTACGTACAAGACGATCACCAACAAAAGCAAACATGGCCATGATCATACTAATTAATTTTTCCTAAAAGAAATATACAATGATATTGAATATGTTTTATTGATAAAAAAGAAAGAAATATTTAAGTGTTGCTTGAAAACTGAACGAATGCAAGAAGATTTTAGTAAAACTTCTCTATCATAGTCGAATCATAACATGGGTGAAAAAACAACGAGGAAATCATCGGAAATGATACCACAGTCTGAGTATATATATTGGACTTAGAAGTATACCTTGGTGAGATCAACAGAATTTTTAAAAAAAATTCGTCTACATGGACTTGTAAAATCGAATTATGATTGTTTTATTCAATTTTCGATCTATACGTGAAAAAAAAACAAAATTTCGTTTCATAGATAGGTCGATTGATTAGTAGAATGTTCTTTTCTTGAGATATTGATTTGACGGAACAATAATTGTTTGCCACAAATTTTTGAGTTTTCTTAAAAATTAAACACCTCAACAAACAGAAAACATTCTTTTCTGATGAAACTTTCAGTATATTCTTTAAATCAGCAGATTGATCTATAAGTAAAATTTTACATCGAAACCTAAATTTTCTCTTTTCAGTATATATTTAAAGTTAGTTCGAATATTTTGTAAAATGGTCATAACTCGGTTTCAAAGACCCATTGTTACGAACTCTATTAAACTTTTGTTAGTCTTATCCAGATACAGTATGAGCTCAAACGATGAGTATCAGCACAGATGGTTCTCTCGTCAATGTTTTACCCACTGAGATAATAGCATCTTCCATAGATCAAACTCTTCTAGAAAATCATGATTACTGCACCAAATACTATGCATATTGTCATCACAATATTTCAAATCGTTGTTTCGTAGGATAAACTCTGAGATATTATTAAACATGATCTAATAGTTTCTCTTGTATTTCAATACAACTTACAGGGAATAGTTGTGCACCTTTAGATAAAAGCATAAGACATTGTTGTGTTGTATGTAAATCATTTGTACGTCTCATACATTCCATAACAATTTCACTATTAAAAATATCTGGATTACATTCATCTAAAACAAAACAAAAAACACGATTTAATAAAATCTTTCTGCTTTTTTTTTTTTTAAATATTAATTTAACCTGATTTTAATTGTGTATAAAGATTAAGTAAAGCAGTTGTACATAATTGATGAATATATGTTTTTTGTTCAAATTCATTTGTTTGATTTAAAGATTTTTCAAGCATAAGAAAAAGTGGACGAATTAATTCATGTCGATTATTAATTAGTAATTGATCATTATGTAAAATTTCTAATGATGGTATTAAATTTTTCCAATTAATAGTTGTATTTGTCGAATTTGTTGATGTTACTTCATTTATTTTTGATGTAATTAATTTTTTATTTGATAAACGATTTTGTTGTATATTAGTATTATTTTCTTGATTATCAGGTTCAAGAATACTTTTCCAATAAGTCAAGAAATGTTTAGCATCAAAAGTAAACTAATAAAAAATCATAAAAGAAAAAATATTAACTTATATAACAAACAAACAAACTTTAGAAAGTGTTGTTTTAATTATTGTTGTTAATTGTGAAGATTTTGAACGTTGCCATAATGAAAAACATTCATCAATTAATTGTATTTGTTTATCAAAATCTGATGAAAGTGAGGTAAACATTTCTGGTGTAAACTAAAACAAATTTAGATAATTTCATTAAATTTTACAAGATATATAAGACTGCATATATATTTGGACTCGGAATTTTGTTTTGACTAATTTTTATGTATGGCTTGCAAGTTGAGTTATTATTGCTTCAGACTATACAATCCCGATGGAAGATTTCTTTTGTGAATATATTTAAGTTTGTCAAAAAAAAAATTGAGTTAGTATCTTGAACGTGATTTTTTCCTTGCCTTCAATTTTATTCTTAATTGCCACATTCTTCCTATTTTGCCTATGTGACACTGTTCTGTATTTTAATTTTATTCATCCTTAGTTAACATTGGTATCTAGAGAGAGAATATTCTCACTTGTCGAATTGCATTTTGCTCAAAACTTTTACAATTCAGTTGGTCATCATGAGCGTTTTATTCGATTTTCATTCTTTGAGCATAAAATCGTCGCGAGACTGAATGATCGAATTTTAAACTAAAGCTTTGTTCATAGATAGACCTTATAGTCACTAGAAATATGTAGAAGTTTGATTTAGAACGATAATGTTTACATTTTCAAGAAATGCCTGTTTTGGATGATTTCAAAAGAAGAGCCTTTGTATGCTAAGCTGATGATCGATACGGATGTGAATATCTCAGCGATTCTATATGCTTATTGAACAAAAAATTCAGTAAAATATTCATAGCGCAAGAGTGAAAAAGCATGACTTCAGTATTTACACGTACCAAAGTCGGTCTTTTTCTGCCTTGCCATAAGCAGACAAGCAAGGATGGGAAAACCAAACTAGACTTATTTTCTAACTACTCATCATGAAATATCGAAAAGCGTTAGGAGTGTTTCCTCATAAGAGAAAAAAACAAACTATTTTGTTGGTAAATTTCTAGTAGAAGTATTTTATATAATGTTTAGTTTCATTCAAAACAAAAACACTAACAGATTTAATAATCAGTTTGTTTCTTATGCCAATATCTTTCTTTAACTGTCAAGTATATGAATTTTATAAAAAGAACTTTATCATTATTGATGATTCGATATGTAGTAATGATCTATGTTAAACATACTTGTTTTAATGTTAATATCATCATATCAATAGTTGTTAATGCTTTAGATTTTTTAATTGAACGTTTTAATATTTGTAAAATAATTTCAAAACATAATGATTGTTCATGTATTAATGTTTCATAATTAATATGTTGAATAATATTTTCAATAAATATATTATTATGATGTAAAGATAAATTTTGTTCAGATTGTTGAAGAAGATTTTCTAAATCATTACGATATTCATTAAATATTGACCAATGTTTACATTGTTTTAATAAATAAAGTAATTGAATATTTAATTGTTGTTTTAATTTAGAATTTAAATCATTATTTTGTTCAATTGTTATTTTAAATAAATGTATTAATGATGAATTATCAAAATTTATTTTTCGTTTTTTCTTTTCATTTAATTTAATTGTTTGAATTAATTGTGATATTAAATAACAAATATATTCTGAATCAGTTATTATTTCATTTTCATGATGTTTTATACTTTGTATAAATATATCAAAATCATTTGTTAAACATTTTAATTTTGTTTGAAAGATTTTTAATACAAGTGAACGTATTGTTCGATATGATGAATGAAGAAGAAAACTAAATATTAATATTGATAAATTTGTATATTCAATTATTTGTGTTTGTTTAACAAGATATTTTAATATGATTTCTTGTTCATGATATTTATCTGTTAAATTAAGATAATATTCAGCAAGAAATAGAACAAGTTTATTTAATGATGAAAATTGTTCATTAAATAGAAGATAAAGTATAGAAGTTTTATTTTCTGAACATAACCATTGAATACATTCACATAGAAAATCATTCAGAAATAATGATGGATTATGATCTAAATGAAAAACAAAAAAAACAAGCAAAGAATTTTAGCAAATAAAGAGAGAGAGAGAGTGAGAGAGCATTATTACCTTTAGGTACTGCATGAATAAATAATTTCCAAAGAGTATCATAACTTGTTGATGTTAATGGCTTTTTTTTAATGACATGTAAATCAATTAATGTTTTACTATCAGGTATTTCTGTCGATTCATCCTTAATTGGTGAAATCTATATAAAAATATCAAGATTAAATAAATAATATACATAGATTTATTTCTCATGTTTAAACTGTTGAGCAAAGTTAATAAAATACTTCTCAATCAAATAGTACAAGCATGTCAAGATTTATTCCATTAATGTGTCCATGGTCTTTTTTATTTCAGAAACAGTGATGTCTAACAAAGACTTTCAATATTTCCATTATGATAGTGAGTGAGTCTTTCGAACTGCTTGACAATTATATTTCACACAACTGTTCTCATTACTGGTCTTCTCCACTATGTCAAGCTACTGTGTGCTCTACATGATACATACTTTCAGCAGTATGCGATGCTTAGCTATATCTCATCGTATACAGATACCAATGTCGCAGCTTTATTTGCAATACCAGTAGTATCTCATGGTACTCGTAAGAGACGGCGATACTTCTTCAGACTTTCGATTCCAGCTATAGATGGTGCCAGAGACTGTTTTCTACCCACATTCGAATTATTAATGAGAAAGAATTGAAAGTAACTGAGAAGAAAACAGTTGCAAAATATATTTTACTAATAAAAATTTATCTTATAATTGTGGTTGATTTGGACTCTTCAACTAGAACACATTAACATTATTAGAAATTCATCGAAAACTATTCACTTCTGATGGTTCCAACAGACTTGAAAAGTATTTTACAATATGCTGTGATAAAAAATTTTCAAAAGAAAAATCGGTGGTACAACGAACATTATATCAATTGGTATATTGGCGGTAATTATCATATGTGGATCCTCTACTGATAAAAAAACAATGTATATATCGAAAGGAGTCTTTTTTTTTAAAGCAGGTTGATATTAAATAGATCACCGTATGCTTTTTATCTCCCTATTGGGTTATTTTCGAATTATCGACAGAAACTATCTATTTGGAGATGTAAACTAACGGATTGAGATGGTTCGTAATAGAGTTTTCGATATATGACAAATTCGTAAAAAACGAAATGTTTTTTATCATACTTTGACTAAGTTTTATGTGTTTGAGAACGGTGGTTTTTCTTATATTTAGTTACACTGAGTCAGCAGTATCCCGAAACTACCAGAATCGGAGGGAGGAAGCACAAAATAAATAAGATTTCTATGATAAATTTTTTTTGAACCTTTTTGTATGGAACGCAGTCAAGTATTGAAAACAACATTTGTAAACCATAAGTTTAAGTGATACACTATATTACAGTATATCATTAACTAATGTCCCTTATGCTTACTGTTGATTTCTAACTTACTTCTTGTGATAGTTTTTTTAATAGTTTAAAAACTATAATTGTAGATAATTCAATATATTCATTATTTGTTTGTTGTTTAATTGTTTCAATTCCTAATAAAATATAAATAATAGAAAATTTAATCCAATTTGGTCGATAATGTTCAACAAGACGTAAAATTTCATCATATTGTTGTAATAATGGTAAAAGTATATTTTGATGATCATCATTTGTTGTTATTGATTGAATAAATCGATCAATTGTTGTCAATAAATTATCGATTGTTGTTGATTTAAAAGTTTTTTTTGTTAATTTAAGTAATGGTGATGATGTTTGTTTTTGTCGTTTATAATTTTCTAGAAGATTATTTAATAAATTAAGTTCGGATGATGTTGTTGGAAAAAGAAGATGAAGATATTTAGTTTCACTTGTTGAATCAAGTGCTAACAAACGAACAATGGATTGTTGAACCGATGACCTGAAATATAACATTTATTTACTCTTTTAAATGATGAAAATCATAGGTATCTAGCAATTTGCATTTCGAAGTTACCCTCCAAAAATAGAAAAGCATGTGTTTATTAAGATATTGTACTTTACAATGGTTTCTTACACATAGATTAGACGTCATTCGTTATGTGTTAAGCAAAACAAGAATATCTTCGGAACTATTAACGAAATTTTTTCATCTTGAAAATTGTATTTTCATTACTTGAATTACAATTTTAATTAACATTTAGTTAAGAACACGAAATTCTTATCATATCTTTTACAATCTGCAAAATAGTCATCAATTTATATGTGCAAGAACTGTACCGATGTATGATTTCTAATACATTACGCTACAATCATTAGTTCGAATTACGACAATTTTTCTCTTGTATTTTCTACCTTGCATATTTTTATTTGTCACTTAGAAACAAATTATTTTGTATTCATTCTTTTCTATATGTTATACTTAATTCTAATAAAGTTGAATTCGTACATTTATAAAAGAAACATTTTTCATTCAATTATGAAATTAAAAAATAAATTAATGTGTAGAATTAAATCGTAATTGATGTTAAGTTTTTCTCAACAATATTTTAGAATGTAGAATTTATACATGACTTAATCAAGTCTTATTTCAATAAGCTTACCAATCTTCATTTTCACGTTGAAGAATCTTTTGTAAAATATCATTAATTTGTTGATTATCAGTTAAATGTAATTCTTCTAAAAGAAGAATTGCTTCATTAACAACTTTTGTTTCATTATCATTCAAACGTGATATAAGAACATCAATTAAAAATTCTCTTTCAATATTCTAAATGAACACAAAAAAAAAGAGAACAATTTATTAAGAAAAAAAAAATTAGAACTAAATACTTGTTTAGCTATAATTCCTTCACGAATTCGTTGTAAAGCTTCAATACGTAATTGTGATTGTGGATGATTAAGACAAATAGCAAGTGAACTACGATCCGATAAAGGCTAAAAAAAACAAATTGAGTAATCTATTTCTTTTACATAGTTTCTTACTTGATGTTTAAATCCAATAGCTGTCATTGATGCAAATTCTCTAATACGTTTTCGTTCTTCATTATTCGAACAATTTTCTGTTTGTTGTCGAATATTATCATCAAAATCAATTGGATATCTTTAAAAATAAAATGATTTTAACAATTTCATTTTTATTTTATTTTATAGCGAATTTACTTTCGTTCAATAATCGATGCTAATGATATTAAATATTTATTATTATTATTATTAAATTGTTTTATAAAACAATTAATAATAAATTTTAAAATATTTGAATTAAATTTAATTGTATTTAATGTTTTTTCAATTAATATTGAAAAATTTTCTTCATTATCTATTTCCATTTGATTATTATCTTTTAAAACATGATTAAGTAATTGTTCAAACCATCCACATAGAAAATTATCTATTCGAACATCATTTGTTAATTGAAATATTTCATCAATTATATTTGACATTTGACAGAATTTAAGAAAGCATCTTTATAAAAGAAAAGATTTTTCATTTTTCAAAAAAACAAAAAAAATTTTAAACAAACCGTTCTGGTATTGATTGATGATGTTGATTGTTAAGAAACACTGAGACGATTAAAAGATTTTCTTTGATTAAATCATCCGAAAAACCCTAATTTTAAAAGTATTTAATCAATATATGAAAAATTTTCTTGAAAATAAAACAATTTTAATTCAGTAACAACTCGGAATATAGTATAGAATTCATTTGGAGTCAGATAAAAGTGTGACACACTATTCGAGAAACTTTCTAATACTTAACGGACGATAGTGCAGCTATCTATAAGATTAATACTTTGCATATGAAGAACAGTTAGTTCGAATTGTAAGCAAAGAAAGATAAATGACTTTTGCCTTTGCAATAATGAGTAATAAAATTTTGTATATTTATTTAAAAAAAAAAAATTTTCTGTCTAAATATTTCTTTTAGCAGTATATTTATCAATACGTTACTTAAACAGAGTGATTCATTAATAAGGAAATCATCGCGAGTGGTACTCTGCGTTTGAGATAAGATATCATTGATTAGGAAGGTTTTAATGGTAGTCGAAAAGTCTAGAAAGATTATTCCTCATGCGCTACCCTTCTGGAGTTATGACTGTTTTATGGGATTATTTATCTTTAATATGGTATTCATAAAAAGTCGAACAAATGAATTCTGACCGAAAACTTTGTTTGTCATTTTTTCATAGGAAATTATGGGTTGTGGACGATTCGTTATCTCAAAAAGACATCACTTTGTTTAGTTCAAGTTTCAGGTTAAAATTCGTTTGTTCGATTCTTTTATACGTGCTGTACCAAAGGTAAAAAATCCAGTGAAACGATTACAACTTCGAAAGGACAGTACATGGAGAGAAATACTTTTAACCTGAACAAGTCTCACATAATCAATGGTATTTCATCTCAAACGTGAGGTATCACGTGGAGTAGTTCTCTTGTAAATAAATCAAGAGCCTGATACTTTGAGGCATAAAAAAATACTCTTACTTTTTAATAAAGTCAAAAATGTTTACTGATTACTGAGATTTTTCTCAACACGCTACGCGATACCATCGACCTTTAGACTAAAATTAATATTCTTTTACTTAATAATTTTTGATACACTTTTACATAGGCGCCAAAAAATAGAATTTCGATATGAAGTTCTACTCATAGATTGGTCATTTTATGTGAAAATTGATTATATTTCATATAATATAAACAATTGTCTTACTTTAGAAAGAACACTGAGTATTTCATCTTTAATGTTGGTTTGAAATGTAAATATATTTGATAAGTTAGAAAGAATTAAATATGTAGCTCGTTTATAATCCAGAGATTTTGATTTAAGACCTTTAAGTAAATAAGGCATGAATTGAGCAATAAAATTTTCTTCATTGGAATTTTTCTTTTTCTTTTTTTTCTTATGTGATAATGAATGTAATATAGTTGAACATAATGTTTTAAGATAAAAATTTATTATTACACGTAATGATGAATGATTTGAACCAAATTCCTAATTGTTAATAAAAGAAATCTTTTTATATTAAATCAAAAACATCTCTTTCTTTTTGTTATTTTACTTGAACTGCCATAGTAGTGGATTCACAAATAAAATTTAAAAATCCTAAGTCAGTTGCACAACGATTAGCCATAACAAGACCAGAAATTGTTGTTCCTGCTTTCTATAAAGAAGTAAAATAAATGATTAAAAATATTTTCTTTTTTAATTTAAAGTTATACTTGAGCAGATTCAAGCCAATTCCAAGCACTATGCTTATCATTAAAACGAAACATTTGAATTGCACGTGTGAAATAATTATGCTCATGATATGGTAATATGCATCGCATAAGATCATCGACATTGTAAAAATGAATGAAAAATCTGGAAAAAAGAACTTTTTTGTGAGAAATAAGAATTCTTTTTTTTTGTTTTTTATTACCGATGCACAAGCCATTCAAGTGCTTTATGAGCTGGACTCAAGAGAAAATAAGGTGAAAGACGAATAAGAAATCGTCGAATAGTTAAATTTAATGAATCATTAACTTCTTTAGTTTGAATACTACGTTCAAATGTTAGACTAGTATCACTGAAAAGTACGCGTTCAAATTCTTCAAAACCAGAATCAAGTAAACAAAGTTCTTCAAAACCATTTGTACCTTTAACGAGAAAACAAAAAACAAAGAAAATGAAACTAATAATAAAATTTTCTTTACCGAGACAATAAATTGTTTCTCGATCAAGTGTTGAAGCTACTTTTGGATCATAAAGAAATGATGCTCGTTTACGATTTTCACTATCAGTTAGTTGCCATTGAGTATGAGCATCAGCAAGTTTATTTAATTGTAATTTCAATGAAGTCATATTTGAAATCAGACTAAAGTAAAGATGGTTACGCTTGTATTCCCGAGGGCAAATCGAAGGAAATAGAGATTACTCTCATTCGTTGAGAATTATTTCGAATAAAGTTTGTTACATTTCGCCTCCTAAGCGATTTTTATACTGTGTGACGAATAGCGCCATCTGTGCATAGTAGTAACAATTTAAATGAGCGTGTGAATCTAATGTAGTGTTTTTCAATACTAGATCTACGAAGCAAAACTCCAAGGGTAATTTGCTATTTTTGTTTGTTAGATAAACTAATGTTTATCAGACATGGATTCAGATTAGTCAGTTTTCGTGATGTTTTTTTTTTAAATTTTGCTATATGAACTATTTAAATATATACATTAGAATGTAAGAAGAGAACCATTTGCATTGTATCTTCAACTATAGATCTCAACTTCCTCTATCTGAATTAAAGGTCAAAATCAAAATTTCACCTAGATGGAAGGTCATATTCATACATTCTTTTGTATGTTTTTCGAAAATATTTAGTTTTAAAAGGATTTCGTCTTATACTTTATTGGAGAAGAAGACGTTTCGACTTTCTCTCTTTCAATTGATGAAAACTGTAGCTCTCTATCTCTTTCCGTTCTTGAGCTATTTCAAAAATACCCACGGCCACTATATTTTTGGACAGGCATTAGTATAATTATAAATAATATTAACACGATTATTTTTAATATATATCAATAATTATGAAAAACTTTTCAAAAGAATTTGATAATTTAATCACTCAATGATATTTATTTATAAACAATTCTGATAAAACTAAATAAATGCAACAAATATATATGTATATATGGATTGCTAACTGTATAGCCCGAGAACTCTGAACAGTTGAAGCTCGTTATTTATATCCAAATGATAATTTCGTTTGCTGAATCATATATTGGTAAGAAGGGATATTTTTTTGTTTGTTTTATTTATTAAATAGATGAAAATTTTAGGTCACTATACTATTGAAAAAATTCAAGCACAACCAGATGGTACACCATCAAAAATTAGAGTTAAAGTTCGTTTTAATCGTAATGTAACTTTTGATGTTACACAAGCTGCACTTATTGAAACTGTTGAAGAACTACGTAAATTCACTAGCTAGTGTTAGTAAGATACATTTGTTTATCTTCTTTCAATAATCTTCATCTCAGAATCTTGATCAGTCGAATTTTAACAGTTTTGGTACATATGCACATTTATTTAATTTTTATTTTTTGAAGAACCTCTCGAAACAAAACATCTCCTACACAAGTAACAGAGAATGGAGCTGAATAAACTGTACCAACAACAATCGAACCAATGGGAAAAGTCAGTAATTTTCATTCTTTTCTTTTTTGTTGTTAATAATTATATCTTTTTTTCTTCTTCAACAAAGAATGTTACATCTCCTAATGCTGCTTCTCCTTCCAATCGTAATGCCCAACAAGAAGAAAATGTTTGTATTTTTATTTATTTGCTGATTTGACCGAAATCATTTTGTTTTAAGAAAAAAGATGAAAAAAAAAAGGTAATGAGACAAAACAAAAATCAGCTAATACAACAGCAACAAAAAAAGAAAAAAGACAGAAATTGAATTTAATCGATTAATTGAACAAGAAGTAAAAATGTTTATTTGTTTTATTCATTATTGTTTTTTTTTCTCGTTTGGCGTGAAATGCTAGCACAAGATAAAAAGAAAAAGAACGTTCATATGCCTAAAATACTGTTGAAAAATATGTTTATGATATGCGTACAAAATAAAATGTTGGTGAATATGAAAACTATTCTGATAAAAAAACTCGAGAAAACAATATTTAGAAAACCTCAAATAATAGAAGATAGATGATGCAATGACGGAGCCAGCCAAGAAAACAATGTTTATGTTGGTCGTGTAAAAAAATTAAAAAGTAATAAAATAAAATACAGTTGCTAATTTAATGCAATACGAAGTACAGCATTTTTGTGAATCGACGCGAGTTTTTTTCTTTCTTTCTTAGTTTTTTACCTCCCTCGACGTACGCATCGAAAGTTCATATTTTTTGTGACACTGCATTAAAAACATAGGCACAAAGCCTTTTGAACAACTGATACTGTTCATTATGACTGTAAAGTCAGCTGATACTAAATAATGGATCATATAGATAATTAAATGATCATTTGTCAATATTCCTTAGAAACATGTTGATACTCGTTGATAGAGCTCTTCTTGTAGTAATGAAGTTTGCCATGTTTGTTTTTGATTTTATTTTCAATCAGCATTAACAAATCGAAACTAACTTTCCTGCATGAATTGATAAAGAAAGAAAACTAATTTCACCAGAGTAAAAAACGTTTTGAAAGGGGACTTATTTCGAAAGGATGTATTCAGAGATGATCATTCGTTTTCTACGGATCATCGATCTGTCGATAATCGACAATAAAAGCTTCGAACAGCATTTTGTAGTCGAGTGAAACTAGAATGCCATCTATTTCTCTTTTATTTATAATGTTGATTGTTGTTATGCTGTACATAGATCGAACAAGATATTGAAATTTTTCAAAGAGAAAAAAAATTGACATAGTGAAGTGGATTTAATACTGATCAGAGGCCGCGCGAAGGTCCTAAGATTGGGAGGGTGTAACGAATTTTGGGGGGGTGTAAAGGGGCTATTTGCAATAAAATTTCACAAAATAAGCCCAACACGTACAAAAAATCTACTCTTGTCGCTGGAAAAAATTGAAAATTTTCAATTATTGGGGGGGTGTACACTCTCCCACACCTCCCCGCTTCCGCGGCCTATGATACTGATATTAACAATTTCTTTTTTCTGAATTTAGTTATCAACTTTTATTGATTGAATGAGTTCATAGAACAAAGCGATCAATTTTTGTTAATCGTAAATTTTTGCAAGTCATTTATAATGGTTATAAATATTTTAATATTGGTTTTGCATATAACGCTGATGTTATTGTGAATAAACTTATTAAAAGACCCATTTCTTATCGATACATTTATGATTGTTGATAAACTTAGAGATTTAACCTTTTTTATATTATGATTTGTTCTTTAGAGACCAAAATGATCGTGAACACGTTCTTGAAGCTTTGAAATTAAACACTGTCAATATTCGTATTGCTACTGATATGACTTTACATGATTTAGATATTCAAGATATCATGTATTTTTAATTATGTTTTGTTGATACGGAAAGTGTTAAAATCTTTATATTATATTAGATGTTGTTTCCAATTATGATTTGCCAAAATCAATGAACGATTATATTCATCGTGTAAGACGAAACGATGGTTTTGATAAAACATGTATGTACTTTTTTATTTTCTGTCATAAATATTCGATTGTTGTTGAGTTATTTTTAGAATATGCTATTACATTGATTAACGAGAAGCTTTTGAGCATAGATTAAGTTTTAATTTTGTTGTCCTTTTTGTTATTTCGTGGATATTCAAAATACTTGAAGAATGGTAGATTTGTAATTATTTACAACTGAATAAAGATCCAGTTTGTCTTTATATATTCTCTCTAAGAAAACATGTGTAATGCATCACTGACGGTCACTATTTTCGTCTTATTTGTTTATTCTTTTCTTTGTTTTCGTCGTCTAGACGAGCTTTTTTTTTCTTGAATTATTTTCCTCTTCCAGTCGTCTATATATAATCGATTTGAATGCAAAGATAAACTGATATTTGACAAGTTTGATACTTATCTTTATCTTTTTCTGTATTCATCTCGTTAAATGTTATTTATCTGATTGTCAAGCTTATTGTTATCAATTCAATTTATTATATATTATTATTTGGTGAAATTGGTTTATTTAATCGATGATTATTTGATTCATAAAGTTTATTGGTCTTTCAATAACATTTGATATATTATTACTTGTATTTCGACGGCATATTTTTGTGAATAAAAAAAAAAGTTAAATGTTTCCAATCACTACAATTGATGCTACTGTTTTACAAAAATGTTCAGAATGTGATGCTGAAAAAGTAAAAGAGAAAAAAAACAAAATTTATTTTGATTTAATTCTCATTTTTCTTTAGAATCTTTGTATCTGTTTATCGTGTAACCTACTTTTTTGTGATCATATTGAAGAAGATCATATATTTAGGTAAAAATTAATTTTGTATTATTAAATTTATAAAAAAAAAGTAAAATCTCTTTTTTAGTCATTTTATATCAACGCAACATGCTTATGGAATGAATTTGAAAGAAAAAAAAATTTTTAATCTTTCTCTTGATAAATATGATAATGATTTTATACAAAAAAACAATTGTACACAGCTTGTTGAATATCCATTTGATGATTTTATCTCAAATATGATAGTAAGATTTTTTCTTCTGCTTTCTTATTTTTATTATCATTATAATTTTAGACTGATTATAATGATCCATTAATAACTGATAATGGATCTGAACGTATTGTTGAAAAAGAAAAATTGATGAATATTGATTTGATTAAAAATCTTGAAGATTTACGAAATGAAAACAAAAGTTTATCAACAACTATTGATGGTTTAACACAAGAGAAAGAAAAACAAGACAAACAACTAAATGAAATTCACCAAAATTTAGTTAATGAAAGAGCAACAAATAAACAATTAGAAAAACGTTTTAATAAAAATCTTGAAGATTTAGGAAATGAAAACAAATATTTATCAACAACTATTGATGGTTTAACACAAGAGAAAGAAAACCAAGACAAACAACTAAATGAAATTCAACAAAATTTAGTTAATGAAAGAGCAACAAATAAACAATTAGAAAAACGTTTGAATAAAAGTCAACAAGAGTTAAATAAATTAAAACATGATTTTAACGAAGAAAAAATCATCAACCAACAATTAATTCAAAAACAAAACGATCTTACGGATAAAATGGCAAATCAGAACAAGGTTAGAAGCGTTTGTTTTTTATTTGCATTAATCTGATACCTATTTTTTTAGGAAATCAAAACACTTAATGATCAAGTTAGTGATTTAATTCTTCATCTTGAGGGTGTAGAAAAACTTAAATTTGAAGCAACATCAGATGAGCTTGCAGCAAGTCAAATTCTTATTAGTTCCAAACCAAAACAAGCTCGACGTCGAAAATAAATATACCTCGTATTTGTTCTTTTTTCTTTTTCCAGTTTATTTTCATTTTCTATGACTTGGATAATAGTTTTTTTATTAAAGAAAATAAAATTAATTGATTGAATAAAATAAAATATAGTCACAATGGTAAAAAATTAAATTATTAAGTCAACAATTCAGCGTATATACTTAACTCAAAACACACTGCTCTATAAGAACAGAAAACATAACTTTAATCAAATAATAAAACTATTTATAGATAATAATAATTGATGGCTTTACATGAAGAAGAGCACAAGTAGATGTAGCATGAAATGTTTTAGAAGTATTATCTCATTTCTCTAATCTTTTCCATTTATCATTCATATTAAAATACTACTATCAGATGACCAAATAATTGATTATTAGTATAATTACAACTAGATTTGTTATCGTTTATGCCAAAAAGCTCCTTCGTCATTGTTTTTAGTAAAGCATACATTGAACAATGATAAATGATTTTCAGTCTTTAATAAGAAACAAGAAAATTAATCGGAAAGAATCATTAGCTCTCATTTGCAGTGCCATGCATTGCTGTTGATAATTGATCAGGTGAACTATATTGTGTAATTGATTTAGTATCGACAAATTTAACAAATTATTCAGATTCAGTCGCTATCCAAGTATCAATGAACTTTCAAGCCGCTGAAGAAAAATGGAATTTTTCTATAAAATCAATACATAAAAATATTACCTGATAAAAGAAATGATATTTTATACATAAGCAGATAGACTAAAAAGCAAAATGACAATATGAACATTAAAAGATTGCTCTATATATACCTATTAAACTGAATAAAAGTTTTGTTCACTAGCAATAATGAATTTAACCAAATCATAATCCTGAATATAAAAATAATAAGTTGATTAAAAAAAATATTTTTAATTCAACTTACCAAATGTCGAAGTCCTGCTTCACTCATATTAATAAGAATAGCAATTTTTTGACAAGGATATTCTCGAAAATGGTTTTGAAGATTATATGTTATAAAACGTTTAATTGCTTCATTATTTTCATCTCCTTTATTTAAGAACTCGAACAACAAAGTGAACTAAATATAATAGAAATGAATATTTAATCAAATAAAACTATATTCTTTATGTATTGGATTATTGTATCGATCATGATTGTTAAAATAGGTTGCATTACTAATCGATGTTCTTGAATCTATTCTATCCAGATTCTTGTTTTTCTTGTCAAGCAGACAAGATTCTGTTTAATCATGGAAGTCAGGCAAGATTCTTTTGACACAAAAAGAAAAAAGATTCTTGCCTGAAGTTCAAAATAAAAGAATCTTGAATAATTATCAAGAAAAACCAGAATCTGAAAAGAACCTCAAGGTATTTTGATTTTCTTGTATTTCAGAAAAGATTCGGTTGACACGAAAGAAACAAGATTCCAATTTGATTTTCAAGACATATCACGTAATGTCTTATGCACGTGTATCTGTCAATCCATATATATACATCGACATTCGTAGAATATTTTTTATTTTTAAGTAACAATAAATAATAGCTACTGTATTCACTTAAATGAACAACAGATATTCTAGTCAAACACAACATTTCATTTTTATGTCAACATCAGGTAAGTGAAAATATTTTATAGTAAGAATGGATCCATTACACATTAATTGGTGGTATTATAGCTAATTTTAGTTTCCCAAAAACAACTTAATGAAAACCACGATTCACTGACACTTGCGCGCGCGACATTTCCGCGCCGACACTTGCGCGCCGACATTTGCGCGCACGACAAATGCGCGCAGCAACATTTTCGCGCACGGCACTTACGCGCGCAACACGAAAATTTTTTCGATGTTAATTTAATTATTCTGGGAAATTTTTGAACCACTATTTATTGAAATAATATTTATGAAAAGCAAGAATTATACAAGTAAAGAAAAGGCCATAATTAAATAAGATTTACAACTAGTAAATAGTAAATCAAACATTCAGAAATTATTCAGAAAAGGCCTTTGCAATTTCGTTTAATACAACACCAAACTAATCTATCTCGACGATAACGAAAACCGTCGAGAAGAAGTTGGTCTTTACCCTTCATTGATTGAATCATAGACATTTTTTATAGAAGTTATCGACAAGATGTAAATATTAACGAATAATTTATTTATGCTTATGTTTCATCTCCTACATCTTGTTTTTATTTTAATTGTATTGTATTCCTCTTTATTAATTAATCTCATGATCTCATCGATTTTTTTATTTATACAAATTGATACAATAATGTGGAAACAGAACACTCTTTTTTATTCACATTGATGAGTTTAACTAATCAAACAATAGGGGGAGAAAAAAATTCATTCTAATGCGCGTAAATGTCGTGCGCGCAAGTGTCGGCGCGCAAGTGTCGGCGCGCAAGTGTCGGCGCGTAAGTGTCGCGCGCGCAAATGTCGTGCCACGGAAAACCACAGCTTAGTACTGGGTCAATCATTCTCGATTTCAAGTGATAAATATGAAGAAAACAAATTATAATAATAAATAAACATTTTTAGTGTAAATAAAATATTTTACTATTTGTTTTGTTTTATTTTTATATAAATTATTTACTTGTACTATTTACTATTTAAGCTAATAAACACGTAGTATTTAAGAAAAAAAAATATAAGGAATATAAGTAGAAAGAATCAGGGTAGGGAGTCAAGAAACAGAACCAGCCAAGAACTTCAAGAGAAAAGAATTGGATAAGAATACAAGAACACAAGAATCTTGCCTGGCAAAGCTTTTCATGCCTCGCCAGCCAAGATTCAGTCTACACGTATCTTGCAGAATGTCAAGATCAGTTTTTTCCGACAAGAATCTTGTATAGAAGGAATAGAAAAAGAATCTTGCCTGATAGCCAAGAAAAACAAGATTTTGGCAAGAACGATGTCAAGATCGTCAACTAGTGATGTCGAACAAAATAATTAGCAGTAAAATCATTTGTAGAGATCGTAGCTTCTCAAAAGAGATACTTTTCAATTAAACATCATAGCTATTTAAAGCTTCATAGCTATTTAAAATGTTGATAGCCATTACCCAGGTCGAATTCACCCTGTCGAATCCGATAGAAATTCGCCGGAATTTGTCGGAATCCTAACCACAGGATTCCGACAAGTGGTTCTGGATGTCGGAAAGTGTCGGAGTTTCAGGGATTTCGCAGGATCCTGATTATTCCGACATCCGGAACCTCCTGTCGGAATCCTGTGGCTAGGACGCCGACAACTTCCGACGAGTTCCCGTCGGATCCGTTAAAATCCGGTAATTTTTCCGATATAATCCGATATAATCCGACGTAATCCGACAGTCGGATCGAATCACCTGGGTTTAAACAAATGTACGCAACTATTACATTATTTAAATAGATGATTCTTTTGTAATTGAATTTTGGATATTTTTCTGTTGGATGGCTGAGTAATCTAAAATTGGCAAATTTCTTTCTTCATGAACAGTTATTAAACACTTCAAATTGCTATGAGAATTTTTTAATAATCCTAGCCTTGAATAACTCATAAAATGATGTACATGAATAAATCAAATGTTGCCAAAAAGGAACTAGCTATCTGCATAATAATAAGTATTTTCACTCAATTCCACAACCCCTGCCAGAAAACAATCAGTAGGTTTCATTAATAGATGACATTTATTGAAATAGCTGCTCTTGAAAATATATATTGCAGGTAAATAAATAGATGAGAGGTATTCAGCTAGCAATGAATATATTTATAGAAGAATGCTATATTAAACGTATCTGTTTTGAGAATGGTCAATTTCGGGGCTGCTGATGGTTACATATTATATTCAATCATCAAGATATTTGAATTCTGGATTTTTTTCACTGAAGTCTCTGCTCGAAAAGGGATCAGTAACGTTAAATAAACAGAAGACACCTATTTAAATAAAAATGAAGTTTTCAACATGTATCGGGCTTTAAATAGCTAAGTAGTCTTTAAACAGCTATGGAGAGATTTAAATAGCTATGGAGGTAATTAAACAGTTATAGATATTTAAATAGCTGAACAGTCTTTAAATGGCAATGAAGATTTTTTTGAAATATTGCTGAAAAGATTTCAATCGTGCTGGAGATTAAATAGGTATTCCATAAAGACATGAGCAGAGTGAATAGCTAGCAAACAATAGTTGACATAGCTACGAAAATATTTATATAGTGTTGAATATAAAATAGCTACACATCGAAATATTTTGAACTTAGAACTAAGCAACACCGCTCAAGATGTATTGCTTTGTTATTTTTAAAGCTTTTTAAATACAAAAAAATGTATCTCTTTTGAGAATGAGTCGATCACAATATTACACTTTTTCACTGATCACAGAACATTAATTCATGCAAAATAATAAGAGAAACACTCTAGATTCTTTTTTTTTTTCATTTGCTCAGATGAGGAGTGAGCTCATACGTTTGAACATTGATGATGGTATCAATAATGAAAACGTTATTTTACAATCATATGTTTCATATACATCTGTCATTAATAATGAACTTGCTGCAACTACTCAAATAAAATCGTTTCAAAATGTTAAGATTGAAAACGATCAAGACATACAACTTAAAGAAAAGACGATTAATGGAATATCTGATGACATTTTTGATATTATACATTCATGCCAAGATCCACCGGCTCAATCAAAGCTTATTTCTTATCCAAGAAATCATGAAAATCAATCATTCATCGGGAATTGGTTTCATGGATGACCATGGCTACAATACTTAATCCAAAAATGTTGTAGTTACTATTATTATTGCTGTTATTTCAGTGTACCAACATCATCAAAAAAAGCCTCAAAACTAATACATCCGTCAATAATGAATTTCAACATTGAAAAAAACAGCTTTTGATAAATTCAAAGGCTTTGATCAACATTTTAAAAGTGGGCGTCATATTTCAGCGGCAAGCCATTATGCAATGTATCAACAACAAGCATAATTACAACGCAATGTTATACATGGTTAGACAAAGGTGGAATGGAACAGATACGTCGAAACCTACAGTGACTGACGAAAATTGCATCAGCCTTATAATAACTATTCAAACTTCTTTATTATTTTCATGATATTGTCCGGAGAGAATGCAAGTCACTTATATTCAAATTCATGAAAAATAGGGTGCTGAGCCCCTTCTCCAACGAGATTTTTCTGGCTACACCCCAATAATGGACCTGTTCAATAAAGATGATTTTCCATATCTAAATATACATAGGACATAGCTTGTTTCTTTAGAAGATCTAAACAAAAAAAATGAAGATTAATTTCTTTAACGAAATAAAAAGATTTTGTTTTTAATGATGCATAAAGCATAATTGATTTTGATAGGTGAAAATTGAAAGAATAGAACCTTAAAGACGAACAATATCTGGTTGAGTATTCAACAAGCTCATGGAACGTGTTAACCCTTGTGATGTATCAATACCTATACAAACCTTCATCTAACTTAACTAATTGAATTTTATCATGATTTTCTGCATTACTTGACCATTCACGCATATTTGAATCTCATGATCTATTTAATATACATAATAATTTTTCTGTTTGCATTAAAGCAAGTACAATAGCTGATAATGATAAATCAACAATTGAATATTTATCGATTTTATTATCAATTGTTATTGAATGGTGATTAACTTTTAAGAAAGTTTGACGAAAATGTGGATTGAAATGATTTTAGTAATTTAACTGGTTTTGTTTCAACAATTGTTGTTGCACGTTCAATACAATTTAGAATTATTTCTTTATCAACTACCATTTCTTTAGCATCGTATGAAACAAATTTAGAATATTAAATACAAAAGAAAACATTTTATTTATGATAAAGTGTGAATCTAACTTTCTCTGATGGAGTTAATGTTTGCTTGTTAACATAGTTAGATACATCAGTATGAATGAATTAAAATTAAAATTAAATAAAGTTATATATATCCATATCTATCTTATGAAAATCAATGGTTTTGTTTCTTGAAAATGCCAAATCAAAAATAGTAAAGAAAAAAATTAAGTGAACATAAATTGCGTTGAAAAGAATTGACACGGAAAAAAAACTTAGCTATACACATAGGCACAATTCAATTAATTACTGCTTCTAGATCTTATTCTTTCCAGTCGCAGATAAAATTGCAAAGGATCAATTTAAAACTGTCTTCAAACAGTCGAAAAGATCACAAAACTAAAAACTAATCAAAATTCAAAAACTTCTAGAACAATTTCTCTCGGTGTACGATGTCACGTTTTTGATGTTTCGATATTGGTCAGTTTTAGAGATACTACTCAATACAAGAAAAAAATTATGCGACACTATTGGAAATAACAAACTATATATTCAAACAATCTTTAGCCCAATTAATTATATGATGGTTTCCAAACATAAATACCATTGTATTTGTTACCTTGATTTTAATATTATATCTCGATTTTTACTCACTGCTGATTTCGTGCACTTTGAAATAAAAAAAGAATTGAATAAATGTTTTAAGTCAAAACATAAACAGAACCATATGAGCGTGACTATATCTGTAACGATATAGCTTTTTTTCTTTCCTCTTAAGTGTGACAGGCAAGCTATGTTTGTATCGCAAGAGCAATTAATACAAATTAGGTGAATACATTTATTAGTCAATTATCATGGCAGCTCTTCTTTTTGTCAAAGTCACGTGTACAGACATAAGTTAAGCTTATATGATGAAGAAAAAAAATCTATATATATTTTCAAGATTAATCATGGCTTAATACAATAGAAATTTGAAAATCCATTTGTAAACATACACTGAACAACTTGCTACCACTGATCGTCTTATCCTATCCATACTAGATCAGTAGGCTTCGGTTTAACTTCGTATAATCCAAGGGGCAATATCGTATGACCAAATATTGTATTGATCATGACAGCAGCCGAACCATACCAAGCAACAAATACTATCACAGTTCCGAACCAACCAACAACATTTGTCACTACTTTTTTTCCAGTAAGAGCTCCAACAATGAGAAGTAGGAATGTCACAATCAGAGCAGCAAAAAGAATGAATAGTTGTCGTGAAACACGAAAAGAAGCAACACACATATATACAGTAAAAAAGAGCCATGCAAGGACAAAAACGTCCTGTTGCTTGATATGGTTTGCTAGTATTTGCCAGCTGGAGAACAATAAAGTACACGTAAGCAGCAAAGGACATCCAAAAACAACCATAACTGGTGAATGCTGTTGCATCAAATGCATTGTTGATGCGACATTCTCACATATCAGCTGCAAATTGACCAACACCATCATAGAATAAAGCAACGGGTAATACTACAGCTTCAATGCGACTGTCGATCAAGTTCAAACCAGCATTGAAAACTGAAAGCATGAAGATGGTCAGAGCAAAGGAACCAAGATCTAGTGGACCAGAATTACCAAGAGTATTGATAGGTGCAGGTGGGCTCTGAACAACAGGAGTACTTCTAGGTGGATAGGTTTTCTTTTTTTGCATTCTTGCATTCTATTTGTAAAGATGAAAGTCTGGATAAAATTTTCCACCAAAAAATGTCTATTTCTGAAAGTCTATCTCGTCTAGTGTTCAATAGAAGAATTGATGATCAAATTGTGTGACTTGAGTTAGTCGAAGTTGCTATTAATTGAAACTTTTCGATGTTTTATAAATATCAAAGAGATGTACAGAGGAAACGTAATTTATGTGTTAGATAGCGCACGCGAACAGGCACTTTTCATGTAAACAGGTGAAAAATGCATCGATAACGATCGACATCTAGGCAATTTTCTAACCACGTTTTTCTTCTTGTTCAGGTTTATGATCATGTGATTTGTAAGTGCAATTTTTTCCTTGAGAATTGAGACATTGAAATTTTAGTTATGCAATCGACTCGATGTTATATCGGCGTAGTTCAGGGTACGACATTGATGTGAAGTATTTCGCAGATTATGAATAAACAACTTTACTATAAACTGTAGTGAATCTTTAGAACATTCGCTCTCGGTTGCATTGGCAGTTGCTATCAGGCGGGCACGAGAAAGTGGGACTGAGGTATTGATATATTCAGTTCCAAATTTTTGAAATCTTTATACTTATATTCAGTAAAATGGAATAAGAAATTTTCAAATCACGTTCCGTCTCTGTAAGAAGTTTTGAATGTACGTAAATCAATCAAAAACCAGATCAATCTATCTCTTGACGAAGAAGATTCGTTGAGTTTGCTAGTCTCATTTTTTGTTTTTCAGCAATTGGCTTGCTGTAATTAAATGATGAATTACTGTGCTTTGTATAGGTAACAAATAAAAAAAATGCAGAGTTAATTTGCTGACATCTTTCACGCTATTTATTGAAATATAAACACTCGTCAGGATCCTGTATTACAATTGAAAGTACAAAATAAAAAGAAATAAAAGATGCTTTCAAAATAAAATAATAAAGGGAAACATGTTTCAAAAATAGGGATAACGATTTATCTGTAGTTTACTAATGCCTGTCCAAAAATATAGTGGCCGTGGGTATTTTTGAAATAACTCAAGAATGGAAAGAGATAGAGAGCTATGGTTTTCATCAATTGAAAGAGGGGAAGTCGAAACGTCTTCTTCTCCAATAAAGTTTAAGACGAAATCCTTTTAAAACTAAGCATTTTCGAAAAACATACAAACGAATGTATGAGAATGACCTTCCATCTGAATGAAATTTTGATTTTGATCTTTGATTCAGATAGAGGAACTTGAGATCTATAGTTGAAGATGCAATACGCTTTCTTACTTTTCTTTACATTTTCGTTGAAATGTTATGCTATTATGACAAGAAGTCGAAAACTTGGTAAAAAACCAGCAAAATTCCCACTTGTTTGTGCATGTAAATACATGATTCCATTTGCTCAACATTAGAATGTAAGAAGAGAACCATTTGCATTGTATCTCCAACTATAGATCTCAAGTTCCTCTATCTGAATTAAAGGTCAAAATCAAAATTTCACCTAGATGGAAGGTCATATTCATACATTCTTTTGTATGTTTTTCGAAAATGTTTAGTTTTAAAAGAATTTCATCTTATACTTTATTGGAGAAGAAGACGTTTCGACTTCCCCTCTTTCAACTGATATTGAGCAATAGTCATCATTCTCAAAAATCATTGGACAATACTTTTTTTGAGCATTGGGTAATTGCCCAATTGCCCAACCCTGGCTACGCCATTCATGCGTAGAGTAAATTTTCGTATTATTTTTTTCATTACTTGGCTAGGTATTGATGTGTCTATTCAACCTATATCCTATTTTTATTTACAGATGTATGTTGTAAGATGCACTATGAAACGCATTAGAGAGTCTACTTTTTATTGAGTATTTTTGTTACACTTAAATTCAGCTCGATCAAGTTTTTAGAAGTATTCTTTAAACTTTTCAGAAAATTGAACATCGATGTCGCTCTTTTCGATACAGTATAACTTACTAACATACAGTTGTAGCTTCATGATTCAATGCGTTGTCTTCAAATATGCACCAAAAAGATTAATTCAAATCTTGTGATTAATCGCCATAACTGATACTCTAAAGGTTGAATGAGATTATTTTTTTTTGTTTAAGTTTTGCTCAGCAGCTGATTCAGATGTAAGTATGAATTTATCAAAAATCAATTTTTTTTATTCAAATTTAGCTCAATAGGTGATTCAAATATCAATATGAATTTATGAAATTAGTGTGTGTATTCATTTAGAAAATAAATTATTTATGTGGTGCATACAAAGTAAAAGAAATGAGAGCTAATGATAAGGAATCAGAGGTTATTTGTGTTTAACTTTCGACTAGCAGTGATTACCATCGGTTAATTGACGGTTCTTCACTGATTCGAGTGGCAAGGTACACGTCCAAGATACATGAGATGAAATGGACTTGAGATTTTGCACTGCATTAAGATCAAACATCGTATTTCCTAAATCACATGTTAGCGGTGTATGCTCGTCATAACATGCAGGTTGTTGCTATCATGCTCATTAACTATCAAATATCAGACATCTCTATCAAATGATTTGAGACATTTGTTTTCTTTTTAATAAGATAGATTTCCCACAGGATCATATTCATACTAGAGCATCTGGAAATAAGTAATTAAACACTTTCTTTTCTTATCATAAACCAATTCTATTTATATCTTTGGCTAAAAATGAAAATGAATATGCTAATTATTAGTAATTTGATGTAATCAAGGGTATTCATTGATAATTTACTTATGCCTGATAAACCTTGATCATTGGTTAATTTCTACAACTAGAAAACATGATATCATCGCCACACATGATCAATTATATTTGTTAGAATAATTGACAAAATCAAACACAGAATATTATGAATTAAACCATGGAACATAATAGATAGATCCATAATAAGCTCTGATGAAACATGATCCCTGGTTATATTTACTCTTCGTTTTGAAAATATCATTTAAAAACAACGAGTAATACCTATATTAATTAAGTTTACAATGGCAACTTGTTGAACAAATCGATCGAACAAATGTGTGATTTGGTCAATCAACTAAGTATACTTAATTAAAGAGAAATACAAACGATAGATAACCATTAGAAATATACATCTATTGAATGATAATAATAGTCACAGATCATTACTAATTGATTTGGGGTAGAATTACAAAAGGAAAAAGAGAAAACCATATAGTAATTAAAAGATTTAAATCTTGTTCGCAAAAATTAGTAACATTTTACTATTTCAAAATCAAAATAAGTCATCTAGAAGCTGAGGATGCAAAAGCGGAAGTGTGCAGACCCTTCTAATAATTAAACATGATTTTTTTATTACTCAGTAAGACTCTACTAGGATTTTTTTGAACTTGTTACCACCCCTATGAGATATTTTCTTATACACTTTCTCACAATCTTGAGACCATCACACGGTCTCTGTCTACAAATTTCATTATAATGTTTTGTTCTTATTTAGACAATAATAATAAAACAAACATTGGATAAATATGCCTCGATCGAAAAAAAATGTACTCACTGAAAGTATTCTAATCTTGATAATGAAGGTTTGTAATAAGAAACATCAAATAGATTCATCTCTTTTTCTCCTAGAGTATTATAGAACATTTCAAATTCAGATTCATCCATAGATTAATTAAAATAGATGATAGAAATCAAAGAGAAAAACACAAAAAAAAAACATGAAAGACAAGATAATGTAATACTACATATATAACATAATGATAAAGATCGAATAATAGTCGTCATTCATTTGCAAAGCTTTTTTTAGAGATACAAAAAGAATAATTTCGAATTGACTGTGAGTGTAAAAATTATTTTTAAATGTCTAACATTTAATCGAACTTGTTAGTTTAATAAAAAATAAAATAATTCTGTTTCTTCTAATAAATAAATATTTTTTAATTTAGACAAAATATAACAACAATATTTTTCAAATAAATACATAGTTTATTTTAGATAATTTCCTTGAAATAGAATATTATAAAATAAGTTAGAGTTGTTTTTCTGTCGTTCACGTTTCATTTGAATTGGAGCGATCGGAAATGTGAACCGGAACTTAAACGATGATCGCTGTCATCATCGAAATATAAAAAGGAAGCAACTAGTCGAGACCATTTCCATGCACGTCAAGATCGGCCTCTAATCGAACTACTGAATTCTCACAACAGCATCGATGTCTATATACATCTATATATATTAACATGTTGCTTCTTGTTTTTATCCATCCACGACAGGCGTCGGCAAAAAAAGAAAACTATATAAAATTAAATTAGATCATCGTGCATGTCGATAGTCATATTTTCTCGTCCGATGTATTCATATTACTTATAATGATCATTCTATGCTTTGATTCTAAAATAAGACGACTTATTTTTTTTTTATTGATAAGATATATAAGTCATGATTTGCATGTTATTGAAGTGATGTATGATCGATTCATAAGATCTATTCTTTTTCCACAAATGTTATATGATGTTAAGAGAACAAGGTTAGCACGTTTCTTCTTGTGAATCAAAGACCTCATTTGTAATTTACTTTATACTCATATGTAAGTATTAAATTTTTGAATAGTCATGCTTTTCATTTTTATTTTGTATGGACAAAATAGTTTTATCTATAGTTAAACTATAATCATAATAATCGATTGAAATGATGATGATTCGTCTCTTTTTTTTCTTATTTTTGCTTGACAGAAAACGAAAGAATGAGAAATTTATGTATGCTAGATGATAAATTCTCATAAATGTTCATAGCACAATATCTACATACTTATTTATTCATTTATTGAGTAATATAATCATTTATTACAAGGTTATGATAAATTTTAATTGTCTTATTTAAGTATGCTTAGTGTTCAAACATACACCTACACAATTTTATCATTATTTGAATATATTTATTAAAGTTGAAAGGAAAATAATGTGTAATTTTTCTTTTGCTTACAATAATATTTTTCTTCTGTTCCATTCTTTATTTTTAAGCTAAATACATGAACACACGCTTACATGAGCATATATGGATTCAGAAAGCACTACCAGCTTAATGCCGTAGAGGTTTTGTTGTCATTTGATTCGTCTTCACATATATATAGAGAGAGAGAGAGAGAAAGAGAGAAAAAGACCGTAAAACCATATAGAGAGAAAAAGAAGACAAGAAACTGACAGTAAAGATGAAACTAAGAATGGCTTTATTTTTAATGACAAACTATTTGATGGATAGTGAATTATGTTGAGTAATACAACTAACTAAAAAAAAAAATTCTTTTCCTTTGTAAATTCAAACAACAGAAAAAAACCATGATTGCACGTCTTATTGGTTTTGCGGCATTAACTATTATAACGGTTCTTGGTAATATAATTATTGTTATTGCTATATGCGTTGAACCACGGTTAAAAAGTGTATGTTTATATAAATAATTGATTTTCTTCTATAGTAACATTTTCATTTTTAATTAAGGTTAGCAATTATTTAATAATTAATTTAGCTGTAGCTGATTTTTTTGTTGGTACAACTGTTATACCATTCATATCGCTTTGGGAAATACATGATGAATGGCGTTTTGGTGTACGTTTATGCAATATATGGTTATGTTGTACATTATTATTTTGTACTGTTTCTTTTTTAACAATGTCTGCTATAGCATTGGATCGTTATTTATATTTAATTGAATCTAAAATGGATCGAAAACGACGTACAGTACGACGCGCTTTTTCATTGATTATTTTAACATGGTTAATACCAGCAATGGTTTGGATACCAGGTATTTATATATATATATATTTAATTAATGAAAAGAATATCGAATCTATTTTTTTTGTGTATGATTCTAGGTGTTCTTGCACACAGTTATATAGCTGGATATTCACCGATTGTTCCACCTGAAAATGGTTGTTATTTACAAGCACGTGCTATTTATGTTTTAATAGCAACAATATTACTATTTTTCTTACCAATGATTGGTATGATTGTATTATATATAAAAATTTTCCGTGTGTTACATGGTCAAATGAGTAAATTATTAGTTTGGTTAACTGAAGTTAAACTTAATAATGGACGACGTACATCACAAACAATTGTATTTGATCCATTAACTGGTACAGGAAATGAAACAGGTGGAGGACGTGGACCTGTATCAACAGCAAGTAGTACATCAAATTTCCATCAACAAACAGCACGTTGTTCAACAATTGGAAGTATAAATAATATAAATTATATTCATCATCATCATCCACGCATAACAAATAATTATACAACTATTCGTTCAATAAAAAATCTTTCAACAATGGAAACAAATAAGTATCGTTTACCACAACAACAACAACAACATGATATATTACAAATGAATTCTAATACACCTTCAAGCACAAAAAATAAATTTCGTCGTGCTGTTCATGCTATTGTATGGCTTGGACGTACACGTGATTCAGCTGGTATAAATAAAGGTTCATTTAAAGAATATCGTGAAAATTCTCAAGCACGTACACATAAAAAATGTTTTTATACATCAACTTGGTCATCATCACCAGGTGCCAATAATAATCCATTTCATCGTGCACGTAATTCAACATATAGACGTGCTATATCAACAACGGATTCATTATTACAACGACAAATAAGTGTTGCACGACGACAACAACAACAAAAAATGCGTCTAGCTAAACAACGTCGTGTAGCGCGTACACTTGGGGTACTTATATTTGTTTTTCTTGTATCATGGTTACCATTTACTATTCTATGGCCTGTACAAAGATTTTTCGGTATTAAATATGTATCAAATAGTTTATTAAGAAAAACTTTGTGGTTAACATATGCTAATACATTTATTAATCCATTTCTTTATTTTTTTTCAAATAATGATTTTCGTTATGCTTTAAGACGAATGTTAAAATGTTGTTTTCGACAAAATGGTAGTAGTGGAAATATACAAATAAGATAACAAGTCAAAAAACAAAAACAAGCAAATAGTTATTTATTTATTTTTTTTTCTGTTGTGCATAAATTTTATCATTACTTTCAATTAATGCTAATTATTCATGAACAAATTTTTTACGACCTTCATTAAAATCTGCAACAACATCACCATGACCTTCAATACCAACAGAGCCACGAGAATGTATACGTCCTGTACTTATACCAACTTCAGCACCTGTTAAATATTTAATTTGGTCTTTCATTTATAATAAAGTATTTCTTTGTCTGTTTTACCTAAACCAAATCGGTAACCATCTGAAAAACGTGTACTAACATTATGAAAAACACATGTACTGTCAACTTTACTAAGGAAATCATTGGCTGCATTTTCTATAAACGACAGCAAATATATAGTTTTTTGTGTCTGTGTAAAAATAAAATACATACGATTCTCTTTCACAATTGAATCTGTATGATTTGAACTAAATTTATTAATATGTTCGATAGCATCTTGAACATTGTCAACAACTTCAATAGCACATTGTAAATCACCATATTCAACAAGTAATGATGTTGCCGATGGTGGTGGAAATGGAATCATAACTGATAAACATGGGCCTGAATAGACGTTCACCTATAATGAACAAAAATCGAGGTCATCTTTATTTGTGTCGTAAATATTAATATGATATATCTTTTGTAAGCTGTTTCTTTTGAAAAGAAAATTCTTTTCTTTCATTTCATTACAAAAGATGAAATATATGAGTATTTTCTTTCCTTATTAAAACCTAAAGAAATATATTTCTATATATATATATTATTTGTCTTGGAAGGCGTTTTCATAATTCTCTTTCTCTTCATATTATGGTGAACTAAAGAAAAAAAAACACTACTTAAACCTAAAGAACAAACCTTTTCAAGACGTAATAAATCAATTAATGATTCAAAAAATGGTGGTCGAATAAGATCTTTATGAATAAGTAAAGTTTCCATTGCATTACAAGCACTTGGATAATCACATTTCGAATCTCGTACTTAATGACATAAAAAAAAAATGAAAGTAGAAAAATGAATTTTTTTTTCATACAAAAATAATCTTACCAATACGTAAAGCCATATCCAAATTTGCATCTTTATCAACATATACATGGCAAAGACCTTCGGCATGACCTAACACAGGTATATGAACGCTTTGTTTTTGTACTGAACGAACAAGTTCATTTGAACTACGTGGAATAACAAGATCATTATATTTTCTTAAGTGAAGAAAATCTGATACTTGTTCACGTGTATTAATCTAAACTCAAAACTAACATTTATTTAAAACAAAAGAAACAAGATACACTAGGAAAATAATATTTACCCAGAGCAACTATTTCACGTGAAACATAAGTTTCAAGGGCATCTTGTATGATTTGTGTTAATATTTCATTTGAATATTTAGCGTCTGAACCATCTTTTAATAAAAGACCATTACCAGAACATATTGATAGAGCAGCTATTTGTGGTAAACTATCTGGACGTGATTCAAATATAACCAGAAGAACACTGATGGGTGTTGTAATTTGTTTTAACATTAAACCATCTGCAAAACGTGTTCGATGAACAACTTGCCCTAAAGAGTTTTAATAAACTAAAAAAGATTAATTAAAAAAAATATATAGAATAAATCAAGTACATCAGCCTTTTTGGCTATTTGTTGAAGACCAAGTGATAATGTTTGTAATTTCTTTTCTGGTAAACCAAGACGTCCAATTAATGATGATTAAAGATCTTTAAGTAAGCATTTTTATAGAAGTCATATTTGATACTTTATCATACCTCCTTTTTTTGCTTGTTCTAAATCCTGTTCATTAGCTTGAAGAATGTCTTTTGAATATTCATTTAAACTTAATGCAATTTTATCAATTATTGCTTTACGCTGATCACTTGATAATTTTTGTAAGAGTCGACTACCATCACGAGCTATTAAATTCAATAAGAAAATTATTCTTTTTATTTATTTAAAACACTTAATGTTTTATTCAACACCAGGTCCAAGAGGGCAGCACATCTCCAAAAATCGGGTTAGCACTACCGGAATTTTCAATCATTTCTTCAGAAGAAAACATCTGAATCAAACTCTGCTTTAATTCTTCAACTATAAAGTCATAACTATACAAGCATGTACATGTTATTTTTCTTTTTAAAACCGATGCTATCCTTCTTCTAATGATTATTTTCGCAATCAATAAAATTTAAAAGAAAAAAATTATATGGATATTACCTTTTGTAGCTTGAACATCAACTGGTAATAATTGATTAGGTACTTTTCTAAAAACTGTTCCAATTTTTTTTGTATCAATTATATTTAAAATAGCTTTATCTATTTGTCCATTTGTTATAACAACGCCAACCTCATGATCAAGTGCCCATGACGCACATTTAACCTACAAAAAAAAAAAAAAGAAAAATTATTCAAGTAATTTTTTGTAAATAATCAAACGAAAAGCGAAAACATTACTTTTGATTCCATTCCACCTGTACCGACTTTTGATCGAGCACCAAAAGTAATTAATTGTGAATCTTGTTTTGGACAAAATGTATTTAAAAATCTTGAACCTTCTAATTCAGATGGTCCTGTATATAAACCATTAACATCACTCATGATTAATAATAAATCAGCTGATATTAAAACAGCTAAATGTGTTGCTAATGAATCATTATCATTAATAACAATTTCATCTTTTGCTGCTGTTACTTCAGCATCCATATCTGTGCATGGTGCAACAACATCATTTGTATTTAAAATAGATATTATATTTAGATTAAGTAATTCATTAAGTGTAGCTTGTAAATTTTTTCTACTATCAGCATTATAAAAATCACTTTTTTGTAACAAGAACTTGTGCAACTCCGATATTATATTGTTGAAACATTCGTTCATAAAATGACATAAGACCTTTTTGTCCAAAAGCCGCATATGTTTGTCTTTGAATAGCTACACGACTATTTTCTAAAATATCTTTTGGTGAAAGTGATCTTCTCATTGTCATTGTCATCATGGCTTCTTTACATAGAACTTGTCGATCAAGTGCAACAGCGCCACTAGTAACTAATAACATTTGTCGACCTTTGTTTTGTAGTTATGATACTTGTTCAACGGTTGATGCTAGACGTCCTATTGCTAGACCATCTTCATTTTCACGTGTTATTAATGCTGTACCAAGTTTAACAATAATACGACATGCATCTTTCATACCAGTGCGACATGAGATAGATGATCTTTTTCGTCTAATTATTCCATTTTGATTTATAACTAAAAAAATAAAACTTAAATTTCAAAAAGAAAAGAGAATTCTTTCATTTCTTTTCTTTTGTACATGATAAAACTGTGGTTTGAGTCCGTATTGATAATAAGTTTAATGGATTTATTCAATTTCATGACGAATATCCATAACCAGATAAAATTGACATTGTTGTTGTTCGTATAAATTTAAATATAATCAATTACATGCAAGTTACATTTGTTTTTATTTGCTAAACATCCATTGTCTTATCACATACCATGAATAACAAAAAGAGTTTTGAGAGATAATACCTATGTTATGATAAAAGCTTCTTTCTAAACATGTACTGAGAATATGAGTTTCTGCATGATGATCTAGGCAAGAAAATCATATCAAATGAAATAAAAGAAAGATTCATACTGATATCGCTGAGTTCATAAACACTTCTTTTTTTTTAACCATGTTTTAGAATGATATCTCGGAAGAATAAAAACATAAGATAAATATCTGCAAAAACGGTTGCGGTAAGTTATCACTTTCGATATTTCATCGTTTCATGTTATGTTATCTTTTCTAGATAAAAGTGAATTGAAGTCAATAAAAACGAAGATGTCAACAATGGATATGTTGCAAGTACACCCATATGCATAGGTCATATTATATGAAAGGATGATTGCAAATGAAAAACAAAACAGTTTTATGGTAATATACAAAAGTTTTTTGTCCAAACTTTTTCTTTCAAAGAAGCGATTTAAAACTCCCAAAAGGTACACACCCATTTTATGAAGCACAGACACATAATACACGAGGAAATAACTACAGACTCCGAGAGGGTCAATCCAATTTTCGGATAGCCACCACCGTCTCAATCCCTATGCTAGATAAAACATGAATACAGAATTGAGTTCATACTCATAGTTATTGATCAACTATTAATTCATTCTAATTGACCATATTTTTCTTTTAAATAGGATCAATTTATATCCAAAATATTTGAACTAAATAAAATTTTTAAACCAATGCTTTCAGAGTTTAATGTTAGAACTTTAAATTATGAAATTTTAACTAAGTGCTATGATCGAAATCATTTCAGTTCATAAAAAAACTCATTCTCTATTTATTCATTTTCTGTTATAAATAAACTTGCAAATGTTTTCCTTTCTTTTTATTATACAATACAGATTTGTTAATGTTAATAAGATAGATACAACAAACAATCGACTAATATAATTCCTTTGAAAATTATCTATGATTGTATAATATTCATTATTCTGGCATTTGATAATTACCCTTGACATTATTTCAATGTTTTTTTTTTGCTACCATGCATAACCATTATTCAGCCAGCATGTTTCCTGTTATTTTTATCAGATTTTATACTTTCTTTATATGATATAATAATTATTTCTCTATTTGTACACTCGCCAATTAACATCAAGTAGTAATATCTTCCTACTACAGAAAAAGCAAATCTTCCGGAAATTTTTTTTCTATAGTGGGAAACACTACAAATTATTCAAATATTAAATGAATACATAGAGACACTCTTAATATATATGTGTTTAGTTATGAATGCATAAAATCAGAAAGCAATCAAATTGACATTTTCTTTTTATTGACTTGTTTGGGAAAACGGAAAGCACATATCATCTAGATTAAACATGCGAAAAGAAAAGAAAACAAAACAGTAGAAACAGACAAATTATGACTGGCACCAAAGGAAGTTGCATATGTATATCATGATGTAGGATCTTCCTGAGTTTCCAATTTAGATTAATAAAACACATATATGTATATATACATATATATATATATAATACGAGTATCACAGACAAAACATTTTCATTTTCTTTTTAAACATCAGTATCTTTTGATGATTTCGAAGTGTCATGAATATTTTCTGACTTGTCATTAATTAATTGTTGATGAGTTGTTCGATGTAAAAATGATGGCAATGGTGGTGGAATGCGAGACATTCGTGGTCGTTGAATATTATGTGTTGATGTGTTACCATTTTGGTAATTTAAATTTGCTCCTAGTGTACTCGTATTTATATTATTGTCATGTGAAATTTGATGTTGACCTTGAGATGATGAGTGAAGACGATTTATTGTTTTAAAACGTGTCCATAATTGATTTATAATTTCTGTTACAACAAGATCGCTACTATTTACTGAAAGTAAACGAGTAACAAAAACTCCATCATCTTTTAAATAATGTAAAACAAAATCGCGTGCTAATTGACGCTCTTCTTGAGGATGAAAGGATGACATTATACCAAGATGACGTCTAACAAAATGAACTTTTTCACCTTAAACAAAAAAAAAACAATTAAATCTTAAAGAATTTTTCTATTATTATTTTTATAAATAAGATTTATACACATATTTATTTAGCGGAAAAGAATGTCATCTATATAGCAAACGTTCATTTTTTTCCCAATGGAATTACACAATTTACATTTGTCATTTTTCCATCAACGACTCCCCAGAGATTTAACTCTTCTAAAAAGTTTAAACTCACGTGGAACAGTACAATGATATAACCAAAGAAGAAAATCATAAACCGTTGCTAAATAAACCAAACAATATTTAGAAAGAAATAAAAATAAAACTCTCTCAAAAGTCTTACCGGCACTAATTGATATAAGCCAAAACCATTGAATAATAAAAATGACTTCATTGAATAAATTTATTCTTAGTACACATTGGACTGTATAGAAATGATTAATACCAATTTCTCGAATTTTAAAATCACTAGAAAAAAAAGTTCAATATGAATAAACTGATCTAATGGTTGTAAATATAACGTACCAATAAGTCACTTTAGGAAAATGTCTATTTTCAGTCCAGCGTTGATTTTTAAATAATTTTTCAATAACTTCAAAACCAAATAAATAATAATCATTGCCTAAAAAAGCATTTAATAAAAATAATTGTGCTAATGCATTAACCAGCCACATTAATTTGACAAGGAAATAGACAATAACAAGATAATTTCCATAATGACGATTTGAACAAAAGAAAAATAATTGGAAAAAGCGACGAAGAAATGAGAAACGTTTTTCAATATGATGTCGTGTTAGTTGTGCTCGTGCGGATATATAACGTTCAATATTAACAATTAAATAACTCATTATACGATCTCGTGATTCATACTGTTCAACTTGCTCATATTTCTAAAATATGAAAAAAAAAAGTTTCAACAAATAATATAAATTAATAATTAAGAAAACTTACTATTGCTGCATCAACAAGATTTACTAAATCAAGACCTGATTTAACATTCAAAGTACGCCAAACAATACGTGGAAAATAGAATAAAAACGCTTGAAATAATAATATAAATGGTACCCATTGGTAATAGAGCTAAAAAAGAAAAAAAACCTCATAATTCGTTTCATTAAAAAATAAATGTTATCTATTATTTACAATATCTTTATTTCGTCGACTCGATTCATCATCAGGTAATTCTTGATCAATAGGAATATCTAATAAAAATTCAGTTTTCTTTATTAAATAAAAACAAACGTCAACACGATTTCTTACAATAAGTATTAGCAATCCAACAATAACTATCTGTATATGCCTCATAAGATGGTTTAAATTGAGCTGGTACCTAAACAATAATAAATAATAAATAATTTTATTTAAAAAGACAATAATATTTACCCAACAATCAATAGGATCTCCTAAAAATAAATTAATAATAATAATAATAATAATAAACTGTTGTTTATATTTCCTACCGGCATACTGTTTTGTCGTGACAAGAATAGCAAAAACAACACATATAGTTGTCGTATATCGATGACTGAGCCGATCAACATAAGAATCATCATCACGAAATTGTCTTAAATGTGAAACAGAAAGACCAGCGAGTTGTCTGACTAATTCCATCTATATTGTTGTTCTTTTGGCTGCCGTTGATGATGATCATCAGGCATAGTCTTACTGTTTAGATCTTGAAAAAAAGAAAAAAAAACATCAACAATCATAACAACCAAAGCGAAATAAGATTCTCTCAAGAGAATTAATTTTTATCTTTTTTATCTCAACTCAATCAATATTAAGTTATTGATATATCATCAACTTACCTCTTTTTTTCTTCCTTAAATATAGTATTATTTAATTATTTTGATCAAATGGCATTTATACAAAAAAAAAAAAAAATCTTTTCTATATTTATTAATAGATGTGTGATTTGAACTTGAATAATGATATTATATTCATCTTTCCATTTTTCTTTTCTTCTCTTTCGCTCTCTTACGTCTATTATCACATTGCATTATCAAAAAATGATTATAGAAACGAGCTTCTTTATTTCTCTGTGCTATACTTCTATTCCTGTTACAACCATCATCATTACTTAAGAGAGTAAGGCTCGACGAAGTCATCGAGAATGAACGAAGCGAAGAAAATAAGGAACATCCATCTATCCCATCTATCTATCCATCTACACACACAGTACTTTCAACATTGGATGGTTACATAAAAAAAAGCGCAAATATAAAGATTCTTCTTCTATAATCGTGATTGGAACACACACACACATACAGATCTATTTTGATAAGATGAAATACACGCATGCATGCATGCATATCTATTTATTTAATAAGACTTTGATTAAACTTGTCTTCAAATGATCATTTACTAAATAAAATGAAAACAAAAAATTAATATCAGACATTATTTAATTTCGATACTAACGAAAAGAAACAAACAAATCTTATATTTATATTAATGTATATATATATATATATGATTCTATATAGTGATAGACATGCGACAATAACGAAATAGTAGCCTGTCTAACTAATTTCATTATTCTGGACGACAAGGCATATATATATATATATATACATTTATAGACATCTAGTATTTGCGTTCGATGATGATAATGAAAAAAAAAAAGACGATTGTGTTTTCTTATCATTAGACACTAGGGAGTACATGTATCGATTGCTGCTATTGACGCACAAACCTTATTCGACCAAGTTGTTAGCTCATGCTGTTCGTCGTCATAATCCGATGAAACATGCAATAGAGTAACTACTCTTTTCTGAGCATTCTGTCGCCGTGTTCTCTTTCAATTACTATTGAGAGACACTCACGCAATCGTGCCTATCGGACTCTGCGTGTTGAAGACCAAGCCGATAGTTCAATGACTGATGAAGACTATCATTAGATATGTATGTGAAGATATGTAATGTTAATAGTATATAGAACTGAACATTTGTTTTCTTATTATCTCTTTTTTTTGTCTTGATTATTATGATATATCTTTCTATCAAGTATTCAAAGTATTTCTAAGAGATTACTTACCTGCATTTGATGATTATATTATTTGTTAGTTCACATGCTTTTTTGATGCATACTGTATGTTAGTCTCAGGAGATTTTTATCATTATACAAAAGAAAAGATTATAGAGAAGATTCATCAATAACTATCAAAATCGTACGACAAAAAACATGCAATAGAAAAATGCTCTGTTCGCTTCGCACTCTCTCTCTCGCTCTCTCTTTCTTTCTCTATCTCTTTTACAATGAGACGATTCATTGAAAAGATCAGCGCGAGAAAAGAGAGAGAGAGGGAGAGAGGCAACAACGACAAGCTTGCGATGATTTTCTAAAGACAATCATCTATCTATTGGGCTAGTTATTAGAGACATGCAAGACATTAGCATGGCACGTATGTACAACAGAAAGAAGAATAACACATCAACAACTATCTATCCAAAATGCCACAATACCGATAGCAAAGAATGCCTGGTACCAATCCTTTTTTCTTCTTTTCTTCTGCTCTCCGCCTCCTACTTGTTCTTCCTCTCGTCCTTTCAAGCGGTCACTCATTCACACGCACATGAGCTAACAAGCAGGAAGTTATCTACTGCCGAGGGCCACTTGTATGTTGACTATGGTGAGAAACGACAGTCGTGTTCATTAAGCTGCACTGAAAAAAAAAAAGAAAGAAAGGAGAGAAAAAAATGAGCAACGTTTCCCATTCCTGGAACGCTCTCGTCCGTTTGCTCGTTCGCTCGCTCGTTTTCTTTCTTGTCTCGTCGTTTGCAATTGCCCTTATGTCATGTACAAAGAATAGCCTTATGCGCCCTGTGACACACGCCATCCTGGATATAAAGATAGTCGTATGTTTTCAGCTTCTAAATCACATCAATAAAAAAGAAAAAAAAAAAGAAAGCAAAGGAAAAAAGTCCATTCTTACTCGTTTTCAACTAACGACAAAAATTGACTTTTTATTTTCATGCAGGAAGGAGAATGAAGACGAGAACTAAAGAAATATATCAGATGGTGCCGCTAGAGAAAAAAGTGAATAGAACTACTGAATAATGATAATAATAATGATGAGGCAGCATCGACAACTAACGATTATTGACAATAAAGACTTGATTTCACTTCTAACTAACATGAGCATGCATGCTATTCTCATCAATCTCTCTTTCGTCATTTAATGATACTAGTAACCTAATTAAGTGGACTACTTCAAGAATATGTCATGAATACAATGACCAATTGAGTAATTGATTGTTCCAATTTATCATGTTGTCTAGAATTTCGATTAGGATTTGTCATAAATTTTTGAAAAGCTAAAAATGGAACTAAGAAAAAAAAGTAGAAAAAAAAATCACATGCCCTTTATTTTGCAAAGTAACACATATTACTTCTAACAACAACATGAAATGTTTATACGTGTTCCTGTCATTAATTTGCCCTTCTCGGGCGTCTTTCCCATCTCTTATCAATTCTCTCCGCTGCACAAGATTGATTATGATCTATGACACATATAACGCTCCGTCACATTATTTGGCAAGAAGCATAACAAAGTATTTTTAATCACACCTATAGAAGCTGTCCAATTGAAGGTTTTTCCTTTTATAATCAACAAATAATAAAAAGAACTAGAAAAAAAAACGAATGTTTACTTTTATTTTTTTTATAAATTAACAAATCTATTGTTGTCATCGTATTCATAGTATTAATTGTGTCAGCAACAAAACTGTTTTCTTTGTCGAACTAAGAACAAAATTTCATTGGAATACCATAAAGCATCTATAGTATTGTATAAAGTGTTGATATTAAGATTGACATTATCGATAATATCTAATATTTTATTAATTAATAGAAAAAAAAATTCTTCTTTTTTTTTTTTGTACAGTATCTTCTTTCTATCTCCTTGCTGGTATATTTTTACTACAACATAAAACAATTGGAATAATATATTGTAAAATAATCGAAATTAATGTATATCTATAAAGACTTGCTTGACAATAAGTTTGTGTATTTCCTTGTGTATATTGTACTTCATTTAAAATACTATATGTCCAAACAGTTCCAAGAACAAGCCAAATAAAACAAAATATTTGTAAAATTATAATAATTATAGCAGATATTGTAATAGCAAAAAATCCCCATAAATTATCATCTTTTTTTTTTAAATGAAGATAACAACCAATAACAGTTAAAATAATCATTACAAGATTAATTGTAGACACTACAACTAGATAAATTGGTATGCGCTTTTCAATTGGGCATGAAGAAAAGTTCAAACCTCCCATAACCAATGTAATTAATGTAAAAAGCAAATCAAATCCAATACAAATAACTGTACCAGGCAAATATGGTGCATCAATACCAGCTATCTTACGTAAATATTTACTAAAATCAGTTGTTTCTAATTCCATAGAATCTAATGCAAACGGATTTTCAACTGATGAAAATGAATTTAAATCAGTAGACATCGCAGGAAGATTTATTTCAGAAGTAATAACAATGTTTTTCTCTACAAAATTTTCGTCTTTTTTTTCAACGTCGAATCACCTTCGAATATGTCAATAAGAAAGAAATATCCGAACAAAAAAAAGAAAAGAAAAAAGCAAGTGCAATACTTTTTCTTTGCACTTTACAAAGAAATAGAAAAAAAGAACCTGATTGAAAATTTTATTTGCAAAAGAATCCAAATAATTGTTGTTGTTTTTTCTCTTCTTAATATTGTAACCATGGATGAGTAAGAAGAGTATGACCATCAATAGGATAATTATTTTTAATTAATTGTTGAAAATCTCGTCCTAATTTGGATGCTTCACAATCTAAACATCGATCAAAAGTAAATGTTATTATTAATGTTGCTTTCGAATCAGGTAATTCAAATCGATCCACAAGTGTTGCAATTCCAAAATCAATTAATTGTATACCACGTTCAGGAGAATATAATATATTTCCCCAATGAGCATCACTAAAAATAAATTTTATTTTTATTTCAAAATCAATGTAAATACAAACAGATGCATTATATGGCATTGAGCAATTTGTTTCAATGCTTCTAATTGTTGTCGAACTAAAAAAAAAAAAACATAATTTAATGAAAATAAAATAAAATAAAATAATTCTCTATGATATTACTTAATGGTTTAGCAAGACGTTCTAATATATTTTCACCGTATTTTAATGGTGATATACCAGGTAATTCTTCAAATATTAAATACCATTCATTTTTATCTTTTGCAAATGTATTTGGTATACTCGCTGCAGCTGGCATCTAATAAATTAATTATGAATATTTTTTAATATTAATTGAGATTTATCTCATACTAAACCACGTGTAAGAGCAACTTTTTCTGCAATATAATATTCAAATGGAACTAAATAAAGAATTTTTTTATTGAAAATACTAAAGCAATTTACTATGATGGTTTTTTCTATTTACCTAACTTAGGATCAGCTGAACACGAAGATTTTTGAATAAGACCATTTTCTGGTTTATGATTACAAGGATTATCAGCTCTATGTAATGATTCAATGTCATCTTCACGAACACATTGTGGGATTTCATTACTATGTGAACCACCAATATAATTATGTTTAGTAATTTTAAGAATTAAATTTTCACCATTTAATTCAATACCATAAACAGTTGCAGAATTACCAGATATAAATGTTTTTTTCCATATCATATTGCTTAATGCTTTATTATTATTTTTTCGACCAAATTCAACAACTTGAAGAAATTCTCTTGGTATTTCTCGACCTTTTACTGACATAATACCGATTGGATGACTTCCGGGAGCTAATGGAGGTTTTGGAGCTTTTATATAACGACGATCTTCTTGTGACCACTGTGAAAAAAAAAAGAAAGAAAAATAAATAATAATAACTTTCATTTTTCAAATAGTTTACTAAATTTTTGTCAAGATTAAAAACACCTGTTGGAGAATAATAAAGTTCATTTAAGGATGCAACTGGATCAGAACCAAGTGGACCAGTGCGTGGTGGCGGTGACAAAAAATCATCGAAAGAAACAGATCCATAACTTGGAGTTTCAGGAACGAAGAATCTTTTTGGTGATTGACGATCTCCAGGACTCTAAATTTATATTAGAAATAAATAAGCGTTTTCGTTTCTTTTTCTTTTTGATACTTATTAAATTACCGAAGCGAGAAATCTTGGTTCATTCTGAAACTTTTTCCAATTATGTCGAGAATATATTTTTGAACGATCAATAGAAAGACCAAGTGTTGGTGTACCACCAGCAATTTTCGGTCCAATAGGTGATTCAAGACCCACTAAAGTACCAGGATCTCTACCTTCAATACTTTGATCAAATAAAAGTCGACTTCGATCACTATCCGATTGATCAATTGATGGAGAATCCGAACCAAGCTGAAATTTTTCACATAGATGTTAGCATCCAATCTCAGATCCACCTATGCCAATCTAAGATATGGTTTTTGACGTGTCTACTTTAGCATTTGAAATTGAACGAACAATAAATCAGATCATTCATGAGCACATTTAGGACAATCTCGGAAGATATGAGTGTGGATGTACTACTTGCTCTCATCGTCCGTCTTCCATAACCATCATCAAGATATAAATTAACTTTTCTGTTCAAAATTTATTTTAGTATAAACGGAAGTCCGATTTCATTCGATACATTCTTTTGATTGAATTAAAACACCTTCACAGAATAGAATATACTTAGGAGAAAAGTGTCAACTGATTTACACTGTTTTCGCTAACATTTTTTGTGCATGTGATGGACCTTATTCTAAGACTATTTGGGTTGATACAACTTCTTTCAATAGATATGAATATTTTCATTCCTATGATGAGAGAGAAATCATATCAATGGAACTCATATAACTCGTAAGAAAGTCACCTTAACGAGAATACACAACAATTATTTTGATTAAAACTTTCAAGATATCCTACGAACGACTAGATCTATCTTCTAGTTAAATTTCGGATCAAAATTCTTTGATTTAATTTTTTCGAAAAAATTTAGTTATAGGTCTAAAGATGAATAAAAGATGTTTTTGAAGATTTTCTTAGTCTCATTTATATCTACTTCTACTCATGATATAGAATTGTTACTCGTAAGAAGTAAGAATGATTCTCATATTAGGTCTCTGCTTACGAAACAATGAATATAGTCATAGCGATTGAAAGAAGCCACCTTTGCTCATATTTTCTTAGACTTTTTCATAGAATAAAGTTCTCCATATGCACACAAAATATCAGCGAAAATGGCTAGGATCAACCAATGACCTTCTCTAGTTAGTCTCTAATTTGAAATTAGCAGAATTGATCTTTCAATCTGTCATTAGTCTAGATCAGTCTAAGATTCGCCTAAAATTTTTAGGTGAATCTTACGTTGAATGTACCGTAACTGATTAATGCGAGAATGGTTTGAACTAATATTTGTTCGATATCAGATCCCAGATTAGATGCTAACATAAATAATCATCAATTTCTTTAAAAAAAATAATAAATCTATTTAATCGAATACCCCTGATGTTCCAGAGATTTGTTCACGTCGAAAACTTGATTCATCATCACTTTCAGATTCACTAAGTGTAAATTGCTTTGGTGGTCTATAGAATGACACTTTTGCTGATAATCTACTACTCGTATCCGTACTACTAGCACCGTGTCCTTCATCTTCATCATCACTAAAAGTTTCATCAACTCGTGTTAATGAAGGCAGATGTGCTGATCCATGTTCATTCTTATCTTCTTCATCATCACTATCGAGATTCAATGAACGTATACCAGTAGCAAGAGCTTGATTAACTTCTTTTCTAGTACCACGTGGAGATGTACCAGCAAAACATCGTAAAATAATATTAATGAATAAAAATAATAGATTTAATTGATCAATAAAAAACATAATTAATCAAACAAGAACGAACATAACAGATTAAGAAAAAAAACAACACAAACAAATGAAAATAAACATGCGCTTTTTCATTTGTATATATTCCATGACTACACAACTTCTGATATCATCAACAAAAGAACTACAATAGTTGCTTGAAGAAAGTTTAATAACATAGCATAGATATAATACTTCCACGTGACTGCTTAATGTTAAATACTAGTTCTTAAAAAGTCAATAACTATTTGCATTATATCGAAATAAAAGTTTTATGTTGAAGTTTTATTAATTGATTTTTCTTTGTACATTTAACTATGAAAATCATCTTACTATTTTAAACTTGCTCAAAAGTATGTGATAAATTCATTAACTTGTCAACATTAAATCTATAGTTATTTAATCAATCAATTAACAAAAATTCTCTTCAAAAACTTAATTTAATTCATAACAATGATTATGAACGCATCTGAATATTTACAAAAAAACGATGCAACAAATTTCAGTAAGTATTTAATAAAAGCAAAAAGTAGCTTAAGTCTTTCATGTAGAATGCAAACAGTAAAGAAAACCAAACACATAATAATATAAAATATGCTCTATTTATTGTTCTATATACTATATACCTGTGGCATTACACTTCAGCCTAACATAAAAAATACTGTATCAAGTCAATTTACTCACACCAATAATTATTAAGATCAAACGCTCTTGATTATTTGTCTATGAAAAAAAAAAGCAATGGTCAAGTGTTTGTATTTACTCATAGTCATGTTTTCATAAGCAGTCCATATGTTACTCTATGTTATTTTAGACTGTAATCTCTCAACCATAATCAAATTTGAAGAATACGAATTTGATAAATCATTTTTTTGAGAATATATTCGAAATTTTCATAAAGAATAACATGTCAATTTAATTATGGTTGAGAGATTGCATTCTAGAATAGTGAAGAGTAAATTAGGTTCTGTTTTTATAAACAGATGAATGAATGATTAGAGCATTTGGTCGCTACGTTTGATCAACAAACAAGAAGCAACTCTTTCAAATGATCCAAAAGCTTTGTTCTATATTTGATCTTAATTAAAATTTATATGAATAAATTAGATGTATAAAATGTTCGTAATATTATGCTCAAATGTGTATGTATCCAACAATATTGTTCTAGAATATTTTGGTACTGTAGCTGTACAATTATATTCTTGACATATCTGTTACTATCACTTTCAATTTCTCATGATTATGTCAAAATTCTTGTACCATGAAACCAGTTAAATTGAATATCGTATATGCCTCGATGAGAAAAAAAAATCATTAATAATCCAAGACCTGGATATGTTTGCCGAATGTTCAAACGGTGACAAATATGATTCTTGTCCTATTGTGTTGAGAAGTGTGGCAAATAGATATATATTGAAAACCATTCAATTGCAAAATTATTTTTGATTTATTATTTATAGGAAAGTGTAGGATTGCTTGAAAATTTTCATTAAGAATACGATGAATGCATTCTCTTTCTATGCATTTTTTTGCTATTTTGTTGTCGCATTCTTACTCATCTATACGATAGATTGCATTGAATGGTCTAGAGATGCGTGTTATATTTATAAATCAATATTGTAAATTCAATTATAAATCAAATCTTATTCTCTTACTTAATATTGGAGCTCGTTAAATCCAAAATTTTCTAGTTCAGAACTAGTTAACAGAAACTTCTTAGAATCAGATCTGGTTTAGAGAAAACTTCTAGATCTAGATCTCACCGGATGAGAATATGAGACCGATCCAATGAACTCTACTCAGTAAGCGAATTTTTTTTTAATAGTCTCTATCGTATTATTTTTAATGTCTCTTTTTTCTGTATACAGAGTCTTTTTTTTTTTTTTTGAAGAATACTTATAATAAAATGTTCTCTTTCTGTATTGTATTCAAATATATAATGTTTTGATTTTGTTGAGATCATTTTGTATTTTTTATTTTTTAGAATAAGTACATAATTGAAATCAATAATTTGATTTCCTATTTTATGTTTAATTCAATTGACACGCAAATACATAAATCGTAAACAACAAAATATTTATGATAAATTGAAGCCTTGAATATTAATGAAGAAATTATTCGTAAAAAACAATTAAATTAGTAACAATTTGATAAGAAAAAACTTATTATTGTAAATATCTATAGTTCGATAATAATTAATTTTTATAAATAACTTTCTGGTTTAGTTTTTGAACAAATCATTTTTCAAGCAAGCGACCTCTTCTCAATATATTCTCATTGGTTTTTCTTGAGTGTTCTTACATGTATATGGTGCAAATAAATAATAACTATAAGATAAATAAAATGCTTGTCTATATTCCATGAACATAAATTTGATGTAAAAATTTTTAATTAATATATCTATATATTATTGCAATAAAAATCTCACATGTGTATGCATGGCCACATCATCTACTTTGATTCTTGATTCAACATCTAATGTTACTGTTAATAAAAATAAAAATATCTCAACTCATCATTTAAATCGTAGTATTGAACGTGCACTTGATGAAGCAAATCATACGGGTGAACTTAATTTAAATGGTCGTACACTTCGAGAATTTCCTAATTATAAATGTGATCTTTCTGATACAGTCATTGCCGGTTTGTAATGCTAATTTTATAAATAAATAAAATTTTTTTCTATATTTCATAGATCTTTCTCGTAATCGTTTTATTGAATTTCCACGTATATTATGTTCATTTTTTTCTCTTGAACGTTTAAATCTTTATCATAATGTAATTAAATCAATACCAGAACAAATTGTTCAAAATCATATGTTACAAATTCTTGATTTAAGGTTAAATTTTAAAGAAGAAAAAAAAAAACCATGGAAATTTAATTATTCTATAAATATTTTTTTTTTTATAGTCGAAATCAACTTGCTTATATTCCACCAGCATTATGTAAATTACCTAATTTAGAAGTTTTGATTATTAATAATAATAAACTTGTTTCATTACCGGAAGAAATTGGTCAATTAGAACGATTAATTGAATTAGTATGTTTTCTTTTTATTTAAATCTATTCTGTTTTTTTTTATTTTGTTTATTCTATTTAAAAAAAAAAAACATCAGGATATCAGTTCAAATGATATTACACAATTACCCTATCAAATAGGAACATTATCAACACTTCGTACATTAAATATTCGTCGAAATATGATTATTGAATTACCAACAGGTAAATACAATATGAAATTTTTAACGAATATCTATAGTCTTTTATTCAGCTAAGTTTAATTGACAACCTCAGGTATTGTTTCAAAAACCTAATGCTTTCTTTTTTTTTCCTTGTTCTGGTTAAAGAGACAATAATAACTAAATTATTGTGCATGCAAAAAACAAATAAGATATTAAAACTTTTAGGCATTATGGAAATCTTTTTTTCTTTTTCTATTCAATTTTATTCAATTTTATTTGATTTCTATATAGAATTATGTGTATTAAAATTAACTCATTTTGATTGTTCATATAATCGAATTATTCGTTTACCATTAAATTTACGTGAAATGAATAGTTTAATTGAATTTAATGTTGAACATAATCCATTAGAAATTCCACCAGCTTCAGTAAGAAGTTTATTTTTACATTAAAATAAATTTTTGGAATATTCATAATTTAGATTTGTACACTTGGTTTACTTCATATAATGCGTTTTCTTCTTATTGAAGCAATGAAAGAAGAAAAACGACGTGGAATTTTAACAGAACATGAAATTAATGAAAAATATAAAAATTCATTTTCATATCAAACATCTAGGTAAAATCAAAGAAAACAAAAGATTTGGTGTTTTTTTTTTTTCATCGAATCAAATATCAGATTAATTAAATATCTTTTAGAATTTAGCAGTATTTAATAAGAGAGTCTATCTGGATGATAAGAAGTTTTTTTTTTTCAGTTGAACCTTCGTTCAAAAGTACATCATTTAAAGACTAGAAAAATCCTAATAGGATATAAGCACATGTTGCAATTCAAGAGAAATATTGAGTTTTTCTTTAGTATTCTGTTTAAAATTCGAGATTTTGATTTTATCCAAAAACTAAACGTTGTAGGAAATTCATTATAGGAAGTTCATGTATCTTGACATTTATACACAAAATTTGAGTTCGAAAACCTTTTTAATATCTGGAAAGATGGATTGGTTGAGTTATTGTAGTTGCTCGAGAAACCAAAGATAAATTATCAATTTTATTTTTATCTCAAGTAAACTATGATATTCATTCTTTATTTATAGAAATTTACAATGTGGTACAAGAATGCGAAAAACAGTAGTACCATCTGATTCAGGTTATTTAACAACTGAAGGAAGTGAAAAAACCATTGGTGATGTAAGTAAAATACTTATTCTATTTTGTTATTTATGTTTATTATTGTATTGATCGTTTTGTGTAGGATGATTCTATATTAAGTATATCGAATGAGCATCCGCTTCGAAATGAACCTACCCTTATGCTTACATTAGCTGATGAATTTTCTAAAGTATTTTCATCATATTTAATTTAATATAATCAATTCATTTTGTTTTATTATAGGAATTAGCCAGACAGAAAGCTGAATATGAAAGAAAAAAATATCAAGCCCAACAATTAAAACGACATTTATTACAACAATTAGGAGAAACAGAAAGTCAAGTATGATTTATATTTATATATTTTTGTTTTCTGATATATTATATTTTCAAAATAAATAGAGAGCAAAAGCTCGTGAAGTAGCTCGACGATTACATGATGAAAAATTAGCTAAAATGGAAAAACAACGTGAAGATGCTCGACGTAAAATGGAGAACAGGTACAAATCTAAATTTAAATTTAAATATTAACAAATTCTTCATTATTTTCTTTTGTTTTTTTTTTTTTTATTTTCTAGTAAAAACATGCAATTATTTAATTTTTCATCAAAAGATGATTATCAAAAACCACGTTCATGGTTAACATCAAATAAAACAACATTAACTCGTCAATTATCGACTGATGAGTCAACTACACCAAAAAAAATTCTTAATGAAACAATATTAATTAATTCAATGAATGATAAAAACATTAATGATAATTCATATCAACGTTCAATATCAATTGAAAATGCAACTATAGATGAATATTTAAAACGATCAAATCGTGCAGCTAGTGTTGAACCTAATTTAATATCCGGTGGAAATGATATTAAACATTTTTATCAACAAAAAATTTTACCTAATGGTTCAACTATACAATATGATAGTACAATAATAACAAATAGACAATTCACTTTAAGTTCAGAAACAATGGATCAATCAACGTAAGAATAAATTAAAATGAAAATTTTTCAAAATTCATTAAACAATTCTTTTCTTTCTAGTACATCATCACAAAGTTTAATGGCAAGTCCGAACAATGGTTATACTCAAACGGTATAGAAACATTAATAAATAATTTCTATGTATAATTTTCTTTTTTCGCATAGGATATATCTGATAAATCATTATCACCACAACATAATCGATTAACTAAATTACGTTATTTTGATGATCGTCAAATAAATGTAAGTAATAGACTTTTTTTTTTGTGATTTATTCAATTTTATTTGTTGAATTAGTCTACTGTTGGAAATGTACCTGGTTTTCATATGCAACCAAGAAGTAAATATATAAATAGAAGAAGAAAATTGTATAAATGAATATTCGATATGTTTTTAGTAACTTCCATAACAAATGGACAATATCAACAATCGCCATTAGATAATCCAGGAGTTAATCCAGCATTTACTATACGCCGTCATTTACTTCAAGCCAAAGAAGATTATATGCTTATAGAACAAATGAAAAAGGTAATTTGACATACGAAAAAATAGTGAGTCGAAGGAAGTTCAGCTCCTCTCTATAATTGTTTGATGATTACACACCATTACCAAAAACGAGTATTCTTATAATTCACAGAAACTTCCAAAATATGGGCAATTATGTTCCATGCTGCTAAAACTTGAGTGCATAACCAGAGATGGCTTTGTTTTCCTAATATATTAACCAATATTCAATGGATTGATGTACTGATTTTTGGCAAACTGCAGCTCATATTTCATAGACAAGAAGATTCGACGAGAGATGTACGAGACCTAACCAGCGCCGACCGTGACTTACGAGTGAATTACTTGACGTGTTTAGTTACTTTTGACTTTGGACTCCATGCATAAGATAAATTCACGTGAGGTATGAAAATATCTCCAGAAGGATAAGTACCCTTTGGTCTTCCTTCCAGAATTGTAAGTATTTTACTAGAATTTCTGTCTATGGCAAAGTATGTACTAACAAATCGACTGATAGTATTTGAACCTGAAAATCTGTCCATAGATAGATCTACTTGTAACTAAACTATCATGAAAATTTCAGCTTATACAAATGTGTTCTTTACGAGATATAATACGCATGAGATTCATGTGTCTTTTGTCAGATATGAATGATTTTAGACAATGCAATATCCTGTAAAGGAAACGTTGTTTTAAGCTGAAATTTTCCGGTTGAACTATCATGAGCCGATCCATTGATACATACTGTATCGTAGGTTAAAATTTCAGTAAAATTGCTATAACTGGAAGAAAGACCTACAAATACTTATCGTTCTGATGTTTTATAAACCTCACTGAAGTATATCTTATGCATAGAGTCCAAATTCAAAAGCGACTAATCACTTTGAGCAGTTTTCTTGTAAGTTAGGGCCGGTACCACACTTGGCTCTGCTCATCGCTAGTTCAATTACTATAAATGACACTATATTTAGTATATTTTATCTAGCAGAAGAAGTTTTCCGTGAAGCGAGATGATACTTGGCATAAATAAACTGTGGAAAATAAGCTACAATTTGTCAAAACTCGTACATTAATACATTGAATCTCTGTTAAGATATTAGAAGAACGAACTTGACTCTTGATTGTACAAACGAACATGAAAATTCTCTGTCAACATTTTTATAAGTTGTTCTTATGTTTTTTTTTAATTTTTAGACGATAGAGGAACGTGTGAAAGTGACGTTACCCGATGATATTACTTATGCATTAAGTGATGGTGTAGTACTATGTCATTTTATCAATCAAATTCGACCACGTGCTGTACAAAGTATTCATGTGCCTTCACAAGCAGTTGTAAGAATATAAATATTACTTATCAAATAAAATACAATTTTAAATATTTTATTTTTTAGCCAAAATTATCTTTAGCTAAATGTCGACGAAATGTTGAAAATTTCATTGAAGCAAGTCGTCGTTTGGGTGTACCAGAGGTAAGTTATCAAATATAATAACTAAAATCAAATCGTATAAAACTATTCGATCTTAAACAACTTTATATTAATTTGACTTTTGATATATATTTTTTTTTCTAATACTAAATAAAATCAATATTTTGACTCATTTATAGTTATGCATTAAATGAAATGGTAACAATTAAAAAAGAAAATGTTCTATATGTGTTTTTGCTTTTATTTCTAAATAATTTCATGTATACATTAATTTAATTAGTTTTTTTTTTAAAAAATTATTTTGCACATTTAAAAGTAAAAGGATAAATTTTTATGTTTAATTATATTATTTTCCCCTACCTCTGCACATAATATTAACCTATTGAGCTTCTAATTTGATTCGTTTACACTCACAAGAGGCAATGAATTGAAGTTTCCAAATTCTCTGAAAATTTTCATAGTTACCGATGAATCGAAAATTGATATGTATACTTTTTTTTCACTCACACTTTCATCTGTCCTCAATACTTCGTGAATCTTAATATAAATACTTTAAATCTCGCTTATTACGATATTTTAGTTTGAAAGACTCAACTTTGAGAGAAGTCGAGAAAAAACTTCTGTATGGTTCTGCTAGGCGAAATTATCTTAGTAGCTTATACATAGGTCAAAAACTCATGGAGTTATATTTCAACTATCTTGAAAGATGTATAAAGTTCTAGCAGTTGTTTTTGAAGTTTGATAAACTCTCGCCTAATTTCAACAGACTATCATTCAGTTTTTTGAGATGTTTCATTTTTTTTTCTCATTTTAAATATTTGTTCATTTATTCGCCGTCTTTCTGATATTAAATACATGAAATAGATTACAACTAAACAGAGATAAACGATATATTGTGTTTGGATGATTTATATTGACATTTTTTTTTTGATTTTAGGCTGATTTATGTACTCCTCAAGATATAATTGAAGAAAAAAATACGGTGCGTTTAGCTCGTCATATTCATTTATTAGTTTCACCAGAATCTTATGAACAAACAAATGTTTAATTACTAGATTAGTTTATCTTGACATCTAATGTCATTTTTTTTTCTTGGGTTTCTTTTCTTTTTATCTATCTATATATTGTTATCAAGCAATATTCAGTGTGTAATTGTGTGAAAATCTCAATTTTTTTTATCATCTCATTTATGTATGTTTATTAGTTCTGTATATGAATCTGTTTTTTTTTTCGTTGTTTAAATATCAATAAAAATAAATGATAAATGAATTTTACAAAAAGAATAGACTTCTTGTTTGTTTTTCTTTCTTTTGTAGAATATTATGAGTTTCACACATGATTTAAAATTACCAACATATGATGATCTTAAATGTCCAGTCGTGAATGTTTCGTCACCTGCATTACGAGCAGGAAGTTTCCATTTAGCAAAATATTGTGATTTACAATTTAAGGTTAGCTTTAAAAGAAAAATTTTATAATACAAAAATGAAAATTTTGTTTCTTTTTTTTTTTTTTTTAGGAATTTATGTTATGTCGACAGGTTTGTATAACATGATTGGTTGGTAATAGAGTTAGGGAGAATAATTTCTAGTATTAGTTATCTAAATTCAATTGTTATAATGAGATTAGAGCATTAGATTGTATTCTAGAGATATCTAGTAGAATTTCATTAGAGACTAATTGAGACATATCAGAGAATTAAAGAATTGAAACTTGATCACGAACGATCCTGGTCATGATCGATGATATTTGAGCAAATACATTACAAAAAAGAATATGTGATCCAATGGTGGACTTAGAGAAGTTGTCTTGAGCATGATCATTTCTCTCTTCCAAAATATTTTTTTAAAATTTTTTCAACAGAAAACACACAAAGACCAGTCGAAATAATCTTAGACTTCAAAACACGTTTAATGACTATAACTGCACATCCTTCTCAAAATCCGAAATTGGCGACTGATATCGCGCTTTTATTTCAATTGAAATAGATAAATCGAAGCTTATTATGATGTTCACATTTTATATTTACTCGCAATTAATATCAACAAAAAGAACAAGATTATTCAATATAAGTCACAATTTATAATTAGTTGTTTACGGTCACGATGATACGTGACTTTACCTAAAAAAAAAACCATGGTCACGCAAGTCTATATACGGACTATAGAAATTAGTTCAATCTTAATTTCTATTGCGTATCCTATATTATAATAATAGATCATTTAATTTTGACTTATTTACCGAATAATTATTTCTTTTGTTTATTTTCATCATGAATAAATTCTATATATCTATATATATCTTCACATTAGAGATGTCTATCGCGTCTAAAAAGCGAGGCGAGGATAGTTTGATCGGACCTAACACCAACTGAAAAGTTTTTTTTTTACCAATGTTTTGTTCATATTTGTTACTTTATGATATTTCTCAAAAAATAGCATTTCATTTCTGAACATCTACCTTAAGAACAACAGCATAAAATTGAAAATACAACGAAAGAATATTTAATTAAGCAAGATGTTACTGAATATATATATTTATAGAATGAATCTATCGATGACTAAATCCCTTCTCTTAACTTGTGAGCATTTGATACATATTATTTTTTTAAAGATTTCTAGTGGAAATTTAACAGCTGATATGATTAAAATGCGGTCGCTCAGTCGTCAGGCTTCAAATAATTTTTGATAGTGCAGACGACTTTGCGCGAGTGGTGCAAGCATCTGCTTTGAATAGTAAAGAAAATTATCACATGAAAATACATTTTACCTTTTTCTTTTTGTCTTTAGGAAGAACAAGATCCACGAAAATGTCTAAATGAAGGCAAAGATGTTTCCTTATGTGCTATTGATTTTTTTCGTAAAGTACGTGATACATGTAATGATACATTTACAACTTTTTGGACATGTCTTGATAATGCTCGAGACGGTGAAATGTCATTTAATTAGTATGTGTCATTTATATTGATGTTTTTATTTATTTATTAAGATTTGTGTTCTGTTTTACATTTTAGTTGTAAAGAAGAACAAAAAGCATTTGAATTATGTGCTAAAAATAAAATGAATTTAGAACGACCTGAACCAGGTTATTTTTCAATGGTCCGAATGCATGATAGTAAACGACCTGTACCATCAGATCCATTTCGAATTGGTTCATTAGAACGACATCCACCAAAATTAGATGTACCAGATCCACCATCATTATCTCAAGCTAATGAATATCCAGAGGCTAAAATTGGAATGAAATTTGGACATAGAAAACCTTGGATGTTTGAAGCAAAATTATGGGATTGAATATAAGCAAAAGCAAAGGAGTTTTCTTTTTGTTTTGTCAAAAATTAGTCTGTAGTATTTAAATCATTATCATCGATTCTTAAAATTTTCTTGTTATGCGTGACAAATGTTCTTTCGTCATTGGAATCTATTGTTTCTTGGGTTTTTTTTTTCTAGATGCCAAAAGTAACAAAAAGAAAAGTTAATAAAAATGATATACCTAAAAGAAATACCAAAAATAATGAAGAAGATACAACACCAATGATTACAGTTGTTGATAAAACTGATGAACCAACATCTTCTAAAGGTATTAAACGAAAAACTTCGTCATCAGTAGAAAAAGTAAATCAATTTTATTTAAATCTATTGCTTCTTTATTAATCATTTTCTAGAATGCAAAAAAGTCTTCATCAATCAATGAAATAAATTCAATTGAACCAACTCAAGAAGTTAATAATGATGTAGAAATTCAATTACCTACAACAATGACATTAAAAAAATCTGAACGTTTATCAGCTAAAGGTAATAAAGCAACAGTTAAATTTGCATCATGGAATATAAATGGTATTCGTGCATGGTTAACAAATGGTGGTTTAAAATATATTGAACAAGAACAACCAGATATAATGTGTTTTCAAGTAGAAATATTTTTTTTTATTTCTTTTGTCGAAGAAAAAGAAATTATATTTAGGAATTAAAATGTGATAAAGATAAAATTCCGAGTGAAGCAACACCAACAGGTTATAAATCTTTTTGGCTTTCAGGCGATACTGGTATATTAAATGAATTAATTCATTAATGAAATTATTGTTTTATATTCTCTTTTAGCTGGCTATTCTGGTGTAGGTCTTTTAACAAAAATTGATCCAATTGATGTTAAATTTGGTATTGGTATAGCTGAACATGACAATGAAGGACGTGTTATAACTGCTGAATATGATAAATTCTATTTTATTGTATCATATATACCAAATAGTGGTCGTAAATTAGTACGTTTAGAATATCGACAAGAATTTAATGAAGCATTTAGAAATTATATTAAAGAACTTGATAAAAAGAAACCTGTGATATGGTAAAAATTTCTTTTTTTTTTTTTAGCCAACACTTAAGTTAATTAAAGGATAAGATTAAAATTGAAAGTAGTTCAATTGTCGAAATTTTTTAAAAGGAATGGAATCGTCAATTGATGAAATCAACTTCCTCTTGAAATTAAGTTTCTTATTGTCCCAATAGTGTATTCATATGTCGGAAGTCCATTACCGTTTGAATTAGATAATTAGGCTGTATTACAACAGCACGCGTCTAAATCAAAATTTTATATTATTAGTCTCCGATGGCGTTATGCAAATCCAGTGATTATATAGAAAATTAGTCTTCCTTCTTCGCTTCATTTAATTTGACCGATATATCTAATGAAAATTCTTTCTTTCTAGTTTTCTTTTAGGTGAGATTATTCATTGTTATATACAATTTGAGGACATTCATGACAAAGCTCCTTCACTATTGAACTATGAAAAAAAAACGATATACTTTGAATTATAGTCAAATGCACTATATTCATGAGCGCTAAAATTTATCCTTTTTAACTACTATTTAATTGAAATTGGTCAGAATAATCAGGTTTCATATCAAAATAAATGATCCTATTTGAAGTTAGCATAAAAAAGACGGAATCGTTCTATATGTGTTATAAAACCTGCTAATACCTTTTATTTTCGCTTGAAAATTCAATCCTAATCCCCCTTAAAGTTATGTCGAAAAGTCAAGTCAATCAAAAAATTCGTGTGTCTCTGATAAGTCACTTTTGAGTTTTTAAAAATGCAGGAAAATTCAAAACGATGTTTTGACTGATTTTATTTTTCGACATTACTCGGAGAAGAACCAGAACTCACTTTTTGGTCGAAAGTAAAAGTTATCGGCAGTTTTTTTAGCACATATGGATCGACTCAGTTTTTTATGCTGGTTTCAAATATATTCTTTTTCTAATAGGAAATTTGACTATGCTGACCAAAACCGATTAAATATTCGTTGAAAAGGGCAATTTTTGATACTCATGAATATTGCACTTGTAACTAAAATATTTTGTCCGCATATTAATTTTAACACACATTAATGTCATTCTCTAGAGGCTTAAAAAGTCCTTATACTGTAGATACAAAAGCGAACAATGTCATCAAAACAGAAAAGAGAAAGAAAGAGCTTTCCTTTGATGCATTAGTCAAATTAAATAAACTAAAGACGGAAGACAAACTTATCATATAAACACTGGTTTGCATAACATTATAGAAGATCGACAGTACCAAATTTTGGGTGAGCGGCGCACAGTCTAAATGAAGTCCAATCATCTAATTCGAACCGCAATGGACTTCTGATACTTAAATTATCTATCGAGAAGATAATAAAATTAATTTTGAGAGAAGGTTGATATCATCGTTTAATGACCTTTTTCTCCTTTGGAAAAGATCTAAAGCTTCATATCAATATGAAATATAATTTTCACATTAATGAAACACAGTAGATGTTAATAACGCCTATAACAATTTGATTTCCCTTTATTATAGCAGATGAACCTTCATATATGTATGAGAATAGAGTAAATAATCTATAATAAGAAATTTCCCAAAGGTGATGATGAATGAGAGTAGAAATATTACCTGAGCGAGATTAGCGAGAGAAAAGACAAAAATCTATTATACGAAGTAAAGAAATGAACGAAGTTATTTGATATATGCAAATATGGTGTTCATGTGGCTATGCTTTTGAATTATGGCAATTCACCATCAGCAATAAAGAAAATACTGATCATTGAGAAAAAAGAAGGAACTAGATTAGCACAAAGCTATATCTATTTTAATAATATAATAATTTAATTTTCATTCTCTCTTTTTTACCATTCGTTCTTTGAATTCATATTAAATATTCTATTGAGTCTCTATTTATACTTTTATAATAAATTATACTTTATATTTTTTCCTAATAAAATCTAAATGTTTTACTGATATTAATCGTACCTTGTTTTTTTTTTTTATTGTCGATTAAATCTAAGCAAGTTCAGCGAAAACAAAACATGACCATCTTCAATGTGAGGTTGAAACTATTTAATTAATTAAAATATAATTAGCGAATAAATCTTTAACCGTATGACGAAAAAATCTAAGAATCACACACCATAAACTATATTTTTAAGAAAATTTTCAACAAGATCGAACTCTAAAAACTACATCTTGAAAATTATTTTTTTCAGAGGATTGATCTCGTTCCAGAACGAGACTTTTTGTTTTGCAATCATCTTACGATCTCCCAAAAGGATATATACTATTTAGAATTGATTTTCAAATTCTTAATTCTCTTGCCAGAAGATTATTCGCTTTTATATTCGTACTCATTCACATCTCTAACAAAGACTAAACTCAATTTTTTGACAAAGCTAAGCATGTTCAGAAAAAACTTCAGATAGAAATTTGTAGCCTGAAAAGTCTTCTGCAAAACTCATTGTTTGATTTTCAAAAATATTGTTTGATCTTACAGGATTTGTCAGTGGAAATGCAACTAGTGTAAATCTTTGTCTTTTTATGTCTAATATTGGTTTTTCAAAAATAACTTGGTAGAACTCAGGTCTATAGAATTCAATTTTTTATGGTGTCTATAGTAACTCAACAAATGAAATATTCGAATTTAGAGCTATAAGCATTTTTATATTTCAAAATTACGTCGCTAATGCATGATGATCACTAATGAATAGATTTGTTTGGCAATTTCATCTATTTAATCAACTAATATGAAATAGATAATATTCGTATGTACATTTTTAGGTGTGGTGATTTAAATGTTTCACATCAAAGTATGGATTTAGCAAATCCGAAATCTAATACAAAAACAGCTGGTTTTACACAAGAAGAACGTGATGATTTTGCAAAAATTCTTGCCGAAGGTTTTATTGATTCATGTATGTTAAGATTATTTTTAAATACTATGAATCAAAAAGAATCACTCATTTAAAATAAAAATCTTTCATTTATGAAAAACATTTAAAAAGAAAAAAAAAATAAATTTTTTTAATCATTTTGAAATACTTCGATATTCAATTGATGAAGTTTTTCACTAAAATACTATCGTGAACTAAAAAGAATCATTGAAAAATCACATTTTTCATTCTAATAAACAAATCTAAACAAGTATTTTGTTTTGAATTCAAGCAATTTATTTAAAATATTTGTCGTTTATATGTCTCTTCATATGCATATTCTTACTCAATGGACTGGAAAATTGATATATTGAATTTATAAAACTCTTGAGAATATAACTTTATTCTTCTTTTTTTTTTTTAATATAATTTAGTTCGTTATCTTTATCCCGATGAACGTGATGCTTATACTTATTGGTCGTATTTTCGTACTGCTCGTAATCGTAATATTGGTTGGCGTTTAGATTATTTTATTATCTCATCTCGTTTACAAGAAAATTTATGTGATGTTATCCATCAAACAGGTGTTTATGGTTCAGATCATTGTCCGATTGTTTTATTACTATCTGTATAATTGTAATGATAATCATAAATAATGTTTTTTTTTCTTCTTCTTTCTTTTCAATGCATATACTATTCACCGATATAAAAAAAAAAGAGTATTTTATGTTTATTATTTCAGATGCTTTTTAATTAACACGCAATAATGTTTATTTTTATGGACAATCAATGTACCCATAATAGAAATTTAATTCAGTTGATTAAAATACTGTCGATCATTAATAACTACGGAAAAAATATTATTGTTGCTCATATTGCATGCTTCATTCAATACATCCGGAAACATTATAACGAGAATAATAATGAAGAATGAAAGGAAAAAAAATGAAGGTATTGTTATACATACAAATTGATTCATTCAATTATTGAAAAGCATGAGTATTTGTTAGGCTAGATAATTTATATCGAATTTATATTCATTTTCTTTTTTCTCTTATTTTTTTTTATAGAATTATATTTAAAAAAATTGAATTATTGAGAGAAAGAAAAAACGAATACAAAAAGCCTATTAACAATTTCGATAACGATTATTGTGATACGTTAATGTTCGAATAAAATAGAGAATAAAAAACATAAAGCATAAGAACATAGATATTAAATATGACTAATCATTATAGCCAGTTGACGATTTTTAATAGATATCTAGTTTCTTTAATTTTTGTTCTCTACTCTTTCTTTAGCTTCTTTAGAGGCTCTTTTATACCAAATGTCACAATCCGAGCACATCGTTGGTTAGTCGCTTCTTCTCTCTGGTGTTCTCGTCAATATTACGATTGCTCCTACTACCCGTCATTTCCCCTTTTCTTCGTGTGTTGTGCTCGTCTTGTGTTGGTTGGCGTCATTCATACTATAGTTTAGAAGCATCATCATTGTCGCTAAAAAGACCACCGGGCGAATGTGTGTATTCAGGGGAAAAAAAGAAAAAGAAGAAAAGCTCAGTTTTCAAGATTAAATAGATCACTATTCATTTATCTTTTACTTTCATTTAATATATCACAAAAAACAGACTCTATTTTATTGATAGAGAAAAAAATTTTTCTTTTCTATTTTAGGTTTCACCTAATCGGATACATAGTTGTTTTGGTGACGTTTATCAAGACGTACCGTTTACACTTCAATATTTTATATAAGTAAGTAAAATTAATTCAAGTGGAAAATAACATGTTTGAACATGAGTTGTATATTTCTTATAAATGTTAACCCTTTTAATTTATTATTCTTGTTTTTTTGTGTTTTGACTATTTGTCATTTGGGAAATTGAAGTACTCAATCATTGAGATTGACCTTCTTATTATGTTTTTTCTTTTTAGTTGTCTATCGTAACTAACAAGGATTTTTCTGTACGTCATTAAGCAAAAAAAGAAACAATATTCATTGGTTGTCGTTTTTTTTTACCGATTTTTAATCTGGAGCTCAAAAAAGAAGAAAAAAAAAACTTTGCTTCTCTATTTCTAGTTTACACTCTTTCTTATTTTTTCTTTACATGATGATAAATAACATGTAATATATAAGACAACCTTGCGAATGCTCTGAAATTCCCTAATCACGGTATAGAAACGAGCCTCTTGTGAATAGTATATGCATGCATACATTTATTGATTGGAGTCTCGACGTCAATAGAATAGATAATCGCTTCTTTTTCGTATCAATGATTATATTCTTATTTTCCTCTTCATCTATCAACTTTTTCATCTTTTATTTCCACCTGAAAAAAAAAAAGATTTCATTTATCTTTTAGCATTCGTTTCCTTTTCTTTGAAGTGAATTCTAGAGTGTAAAATTGATATTAACCATTTGTATTCTTATAGAATTAGGTAAGAAACTTATTTTAGCATTTATCATTTGTTTGTTTACATATCAGATATCTGGAGTTGGTAACCTTAACATGGCATATGGAGAAACACATCGGCTACATGAGAATTGATATTAACATCATCATCATCAGTCAGGCGTAGAGCATAAAAGAAATGATGACAGCAAGTAATAGATTTCTAATAGTTCTATGTTGAATGAAGTGTGTTATGTTAATATTTCTCTTTCCTTGCAAAAAAAAGTCGAAATCTGTTACGAGTTAATCAGATTAGTAATATGACAAGCCGTTAATATAGCGAGAAAATGATACGGAAACGAAGAAAAATGAAGTTTTGTATATAATGTCTTTGTTGATCTCTATTGAGTGACAAACTTATGTCATCTTATCCTTTAATGGTTACATATTGATCTTTTGTTGCTATCAAATCATTGACTTTACTTGCACTATTGTCTTTTCTTCTTTTCTATTTAGTCTTTGTTAGACTTTCATTTACGTTTGTTTGACTAACAATAAAAACAGGTCGTCATAAAACAAAAATGATTAAACAAAATGTTTTTATGTTTATGAATTTATGGATGTGTAATGCCACATAGGTTTTGGAATAGTATTGATAATCATATTAAAAAAAAAACGAGAAAAGAAAGAAGACTAACTGTCATTGACTGTTGTCAGTGCTATCCGAAAAATAGAGAACAAATATATTTATGCAAATCATGAAGAGTGATAATATAAGATGAATGTATGTATATGCATAAAATGATGACTGATGAAACAGCAAAATTCTTCATGTATTTGAAATAGAGAGAAAAAAGTAGGCGGAGAATTGTTATCGTGCTTTGTAATTTCCATTCTTTTGTTTATATATACGTCATTCTCTATTTTTTTTTTTATCGGAGTTTTATTCTAACTAATCCATTATTAAATACTATATCTTAAATCTAAAAAGCATCATTATTTATTTTCTTTGTCTTTTATTCATCAAGGGCGCACATGTTTTCAACTGTTGTTGATGGGCTGTACGAGCTCGAAGCATGACTTATCGAAAGATGATCTTGAGTTTTTAAAATTACATACATCATATTCAGAAAAAAAAATAAAAACTTGGTACAAAGGTTTTATGGTATATAAATATATGTCTTACTTATTTTATTCCTTTTGAATTCTTTTTTTCTTTATTATAGAGAGATTGTCCCAACGGTGAATTGACACGCGATTCATTCATTCAAATCTACAAGCAATTTTTTCCCAAAGGACGTGCAGAAAATTTTTGCGAACATGTCTTTCGAGCTTTTGACACTGGTAAATTAGGAATAAAAGATAAAAAAAAAAAGACATGATTAGTATTCTATTCAATTTAATAATCTAGATAAAAGCGGAAAAATCGATTTTAAAGAATTTTTACAAGCAATTAACATTACATCACAAGGAACACCTGATAAAAAGTTAGAAATGGCATTTCGTATGTATGATTGTAATGGTGATGGTTCAATTGATGAAAATGAAATGAGACGTATTATTAGTGTAAGTTTACATAAGATATTTAAAAAACAATATGTTGTATCTATTTTATTTTTTTCTAAAGGCAATTTATGAATTAATTGGTGATGAAATCGATAAAAAAGAACGGCAAGTAGAAGCAGAAGAACGTGCCATAAATATATTTACAATGATGGATAAAAATTCTGATGGTATATTAAGTCGAGAAGAATTTATTGATGGGTGTTTAAATGATGAACAACTTTATCAATTATTAACACAATCGAGTCGAATTGGTGAAGAGCGAGAATCGGAGTCATCAGTAGAAGATTAATGTTTTTTTTTCTTTTTCTTTTCTTTTCTTTTTTTTTTCAATAAAACAACACGAAAATGACAATCATTAATTTTCGAAAAAAAAAACGCAAAAAATTTATTGTTTTTTTTTTTTGTTTTACTTATTTGTCTTGTGTAATTGTATCATCATAGTTAACATTCCTTTTCTTTTTCTTTTCTTAACTATAATAATAATTATATTAATCATATAGAGATTACTCACTCAATGAATTATTCTTTTTTATGATTATAGATCGAAATATGTCTGATAGTTTATCAGTAGCTGCTGCTGCAGCCGAAGACAATGTTTCTGATGATGAAAAAGAAGAAGAACAAATAACTAATACTATTCAAAAAAAAGAAGATGCAAAGGTTGAAAAAGAACTTGATCGAGTTACAGATCGTGTTGATGAAGAAGATCTTGGTTCAGAAAACATAGGAAATGTATATATTAATATTATAATGTCAATATTTCATGATAATTATTTTTCTTCGTCTTATTTTTTTTGTTAAGGCATTAACGGCAATTAATGATAAACGACATCGTGATGAGTCAAAACGTAAAGCTGAACAAGCAGTATTGGCTAATGTTAAAATTCGAAAAGAAGATGTTGAACTTATTATTCAAGAACTTGAATTACCAAGATCAAAAGCAGAAAAAATCTTACGTCAACATCGTGGAGATGTCGTAGCTACATTGAAAGCACTTGTCAACGCTTAAAAAAAACACTATCGTTTTTCATTGATTGGATGCTGTTTATCTATTACAATCACTAAACGTGCATCTCTCGAAATAATAACTATCTTTGAAGCATACTAAATATATAATCTATAAACACGAAAAATTAATTATATCTATATATATATATAGATATAAAGTAAAAAGGCTATAGTTAATTTTTTTAGATCAATAATTGTCGTTGGCAAGACAAAGTTCTTTGTGATATGATATAGAAATATTTCGCTCCATTAAACATAAGATGAGTAAAAAATTTAGTTGCCTTGAAGGGCTCTTTGGATCATTCACAATGATAGAAACGAGGAGAATAAGAAAAATCTCTGTTTTTTTTCTTATTATAAAATAGGAATAAGTCATAACGCAAATAGTTGCCTTGTGAATAATTTTCATCATATACTACGCATAGCTATTTCACATATAATAAAATGATTGGAATGCATAAGATATTAAATTAATTCGCTTGACTATTTTGTTTCCAATCAAGTTTAAACATATATAAATTGTATGAAAGTGCATACTTAAATCGATGATTGAATGCTAAATTCATTGAATCAGCATTGAAATCAGCTGAATCAGAGCTATTAATGGTTATTATTATAACCAAGTGTTTCATTTGAGTGAATTGTCCTAATTGGCCGTGAACACTTATATA